AGCCGTACCAAGCGTGCTTCAAAGCCCAAGAAACAAGTTGAAAAAACATCGTGTGAGCATTGTGTTTGCAAATGGGGGGGGCTGCGCCCTCTCCAACCCCCGCGCTTTTTTTTTAGCCCTGCAGAGCGTGCTTCAAAGCCCAAGAAACTTGCTGACGCCCATCATGTGAGCAGGGTGTTTGCAAGTGCGGGGGGGGGGCCCACTTCTTTTAAGCCGTACTATAGGAAGGCTGCGCATCCCCCAACCCCCCCTGCGCACCCCCCAACCCCCCCCGCTTTTTTTTGAAGCCCCGAACGTGCTTCAAAGCCCAAGAAACTTGTTGCCGCCCATCATGTGCGTGCAAGTGCAACCCCCCCCAACCCCTCCCCAACCCCCCCCACCAACCACCCCCCCAACCCCCCCGCGTCTTTGGCCCAAGAAACTAGTTGAAAAACATCGTGTGAGCAGTGTGTTTGCAAACCCAACCCCCCCCCCCGCTTTTGTTTAAAGCCATGCAGAGCGTGCTTCAAAGCCCAAGAAACTTGTTGACACCCATCATGTGAGGAGGGTGTTTGCAAATGGGGGGGGGGAACCAAATAGGGTTTCCCTAGGACAAATAAGGAAATGCTTTTACGTTTGACGAAATCCTTCCAAAATGTAAGCAGAACAGGGTTTCCTTGGGAAAAACCAACGAAAACCTCAAGGAAATGACAGGATATCTGTCCAAAATGTAAAGAAAATAGGCTTTCCTGAGGAAAAACCAAGGAAAACCTAAGGGAAATGACAGGAAATCCGTCTAAAATCTAAAATGTAAAGAAAATAGGGTTTTCCCTATGAAAAACCAAGGAAAACCTAAGGGAGATGACAGAAAATCCGTCCAAAATGTAAGGAAAGTAGGGTGTTTGCTAGAGAAGACCACGCCCCCCCCTAAACATGTGCAGCATGAAAAGGCGCGAAAAAAAACCCAGACCCAGCCCAGGCTGAGCCCAGGGCAGTCCGGACAGGGTGCGAAAAAAGCCCAAATCCTGAACAGGGTCCAAAGGGAGCCAAGTCGGGGTGTAAAAAAAGCCCTGCCCCTCTGCCTGTGTAGAGTGTAGAACAGCTGCGAGCTTCTAAATGCTTGGACTTTCTTGACAGGTCTCGGTCGATGAGGCCGAGTCCATGGTCGGCAGGGCACCCCTGAATCCAATGCAGCATGCGATCTCCTTCGACGCGCGGGGCCGCTTGGATGCAGCAGGGGCGGCGGAGAGTGCTTGGGCTTGGGGAGATGGGGGATGTCCTGTCCTTTGCGAGGCTTCCCTGGCGGAGGCCCTTTCGCTGCGCCGTCCGCGTCTGCACCAACGTTTTCTGTTACTGTTCCGTACTTAAGAGGATCGAAGACAGGCGAAAAGGTGCTTTTTGTTCGTCCTGAGATGCGACTGCCTTCTCGGTGTGTGCATCGGTCAGTTGGCAGGTCTTTACATTGCCTTCCGCTTGGGTGCCATGGGGTGTCTTGACGGCACAGCTCCTCACAGCGGACCCTTCACTATGCCGATCTCCGGCTCCGCTGCATCCGCAAGGTACGGGCCAAGCTTCCGGCCGATCCAGCAAGTCTACCGGCAGGGTAGGCCGTACGAGGCAGAGCAAGGCCCCCCGAGAAGTGTTATCTGGGTCAGTTCTGCTTTGTTCGATTCACTGACTCCCCATTTCCACCGCAACAGGAGAGCCGCCTGTCGCACTGGGCGTCTTGCGGGATGAGACTGCGGAGGAATGGGAGCGTGTTGCGCTGATGCAGGACGGGTCCATGGCTTGCAAGAAAAGTAAGTCCCAGCCCCTTTTCATGATGCTATTCTCAAGATCTCTCCTTGAGCATGCAAGATGTGAGCCTCCGCTCCTCTGAGAGGCTCATGCTGGGATTCTGGACGGCTCTCTGCCACTCGGACGTATCAAGCTTGATCCCAGTCTGAAGCGAAGTCTTGGCGTTATGAATACACTGGCTGATGCTGCCCCATTACATAGACCTACTTGAGTGCTGGGCCCGGCCGGATTCGGCGTGGGCGACTCGAGATTTCCGACTCCTTGGATGGGTGCCCCTCTCGCCGCACAGCCTGTTTGCCAAGGCAACTGACCGCGATGTACAGCAGCACGTTCACTCAGCAGTTTGATGTGCCCAAGCTGCCTCAAATTCTAATTCATGTTGTGCCACGTTCGGCCATGTGCTATTATGATTGGCCTGGACCAGCAAAGGACTTCGTGGCGTACCAGCGCCAGCAGCTGAAGGAGGTCCAGGTACCGAGTCGCACAAGGAAACAAGAAGGACATGAACATCACTGCCATTAGTTTTGTTGTCTGAGCATGTTCGTGAAACTTAATGCTCATCGCTCGCAGCATTTTCATTGTTGGTACTTTTCTCATCCCCCACTTTCATTTCAGATATATTTGGGTCATTGGTCCTGTTTTTGGTGCCCGAAATAGTAGGTGCCGCATTATAACAAGGACCCCAAAAAGGGACCCTAATTTTGACAACCGCCCAAATGTCTTTGTCTTGGTTGAGTAGATCAGATTTGGGCTTCAACCTCTCGGCCAGGCCTCTTGAGGCCGCCCGAGGCCCGGCTTCCGGGCTAAAAGAGCGAAGGGTTGAAGGTTTAGGCTTTAGGGTTTAGGGTTTAGGCTTTAGGGTTTAGGCTTTAGGCTTTAGGGTTTAGGCTTTAGGGTTTAGGGTTTAGGCTTTAGGCTTTAGGGTTTAGGCTTTAGGCTTTACGGTTAAGGGTTTAGGGTTTAGGCTTTAGGCTTTAGGCTTTAGGCTTTAGGGTTTAGGGTTTAGGGTTCAGCAGCTCCGGATCGAGCAGTTTTAAAGTAGAGTTGTATTTACTGTTTAGAAATAACACCCACCCACCCTTAGAATCCCATAACATTAGGAAATACAAAGTTCAATTCATTCACAGCTTCAAACTATTATCCACCGAAACCCTAGGCCCCTAAACCCTAAACCCTAGGCCCCTAAACCTTAAACTCTAGGCCCCTAACCTGTGCCTGTGCCTTGTGTGCCTTGTGTGCCTTGTGTGCCTTGTGTGCCTTGTGTGCCTTGTGTGCCTTGTGTGCCTTGTGTGCCTTGTGTGCCTTGTGTGCCTTGTGTGCCTTGTGTGCCTTGTGCCTTGTGCCTGATTTTGTGCCTATGCCCGTGCCTTGTGCCTTGTGCCTTGTGCCCTTGTGCCTTGTGCCTTGTGCCTTGTGCCTTCCTTGTGCCTTGTGCCTTGTGCCTTCCTGATTTTGTGCCTATATCCGCGAATTCATTAAGGATTAAATTACTATACGAAGGAGAGGTTTAGGCTTTAGGCTTTACGGTTAAGGGTTTAGGCTTTAGGCTTTAGGCTTTAGGGTTTAGGGTTTAGGGTTTAGGCTTTACGGTTAAGGGTTTAGGGTTTAGGCTTTAGGCTTTAGGGTTTAGGCTTTAGGGTGTAGGGTTTAGGGTTTAGGCTTTAGGCTTCAGGGTCTAAGGTTTAGGCTTTAGGGTTTAGGGTTTAGAGTGTGTGGTAAGTAACGGCAAGTGACAAGGAGTACTGTGATGGTTCTGTTAGGGACCAATAGAAATCGCGATAATAAGAACACTACTGTTGATGATATAGATCCTGCATTAACTCAAGGACCCTGAACTATGGGAATTATGGTAATTTCTTATTATAGGTAATGCAGGATTTATATTGTCAACCGTAAGACTAGGAAGAGCCAATGGCTTCAGATCTGAATCTCGGTGTGTCGACGGCCTCTCGAGGAATCAGTATCGCTTCGTCGCAAGACGTCCGCAGTCTGGCAACTCAAACTTTGCATCTGCATGTTCCTAACCCCAAACCCTAAAGCCTGCCCTTGCATAGGCCTGCCGAGCAGATGGGAGCTGAGCAGCCAAAGACTCGCTGTATCCACAGTTTCTCTTCCGTCGATTCTCGCTTCACATAGGATTCGTAGATTGGCTTGTGGAGGAGCGGAGTGTCGCAGAGCCGCATGCCAAAGAAGTGCAGAGTGAAACCCCCGTTGTGCCTGGTCGGGCTCTTGCGGAAAATCTTTGGCCTGGATGCCATGCCTGTTAGCCAGAAACATGGCTTGGCCATCCGCAAGGACAGGTAAAGATTTGTTCTTTCATGTTTCCATGAAACACTACTGGCAGGCCTCTAGTCCATGATGATTTCTAGTGATAAGGGGATCGATTTTGATTGCGTGCCAAAGACGTCGTTTGACGGCTTCATGCTTCAAGAATGGCCGCGGACGAGGCCCCTCCTCGCAAGTTGCCCTGTCTTGGACTTTGTCTTGACCAGCGTCAGAGGCTTCGTGCACCAATTGCGGGAACCCTGTTCTGAATAGCTGGGTGCCGGCCTGAGCATCCCTGAGCCTTTGCCAAGGCACACTGGGCATGCAGAGTACATGCGTTGCGGCCAGGCCTTTTGTAGACACTGCGGCATAGCCAAGCACCAAGCTTCGCTGCCACAAACGCAGTGAGTCGTGCCGTGTCGAAGCAGCCGTTCCATGGCAGAAGCCTATCAGCAGATTTATCTAATTCGCTGAGGCCTCTCCCAGTGCAAAGCCGGGGGCTCTGATCGATGCCTGCAGGTTGTTGTTCTGATGTGACAGGTCCATAGAAATGGGCGGAGATAAGAGTTGTGAGTTGTGACCCCGCGAGCACGAGGTTCTCACCGGAGAAGCGCGATGCTTTGCAGGCTCGCCCAGCCCCTGGACTCTCCGCCACAGCAGCCGTGCTGTGTTGGCTAAGGCCCTCGCCGAGCCGTTGCGGTGAGCCGAGTTTCGATGTCTTGGAGTCATTGTCTGCAGCCGGTGCATGGCATGAGCAAGTTCGAGACCATTTATGAAATGTCGCCAACATGGCACATGCCTGAGGTCTCACGAAACGCGTGCTGCGCAATTGTTTGGTGACTTGCAGGCCTGCAGCATTTTTTGTTTCTTCCGCCTGTCTAGGCCCCGTCCTGCATTTCCCACGCAGCCAAGCTGGTGTCATTCAGGAAGCGCCCAGACGCACTCGCAACCTCGGCGAAATGTTGCTGCAGCTGGAGTCTCTTGGCCGCAGCATTCGGCGAATCTGAGCGCATGTGCTTCCGATACAGAAGCGGTGTTTGAAGGGTATTGACGATGATCCTTCGAATGTGCTTCTTTGTATTTGGAGTTTTTTTTTCGGAGGCCATGTTCACGATTAGCTGCCGTACAAGCAGCTCAGTGATATCGTTATTGCCGAGGAAGTCATACGCCCACTGCGCACCGTCGGAGGTCCGGCAGCTTGCACGTCGTCCGTCACGGCCGGTCCCTAGCGAATCTCGGTGCATCCGAAAGCCCGACCGCCTTAGCAAGGCCTCAGATCTCGAGATCTCGAGACCCTAACGCCTTAGAGCCCCCAAACCTGAAAAGCCTGAGTTGGTGCGCAGATGGAGAAGCGCGTAGCCCTTCTTGAGCAGCGCATCGGGCAGATCACGGAGGCGGCCCGGAGGGGTCCAAACCTTGTCTGAGGTTTCTTTCGTCTCTCGTCAGGGCGAAGGCTCCCGGATCCAGACCCTCTGTGAGCAAGCCAAGAGGCTGCAAGAAGGCCTTGGGAGCACGGTGCAAGGAACGGGAGTGCTAGCAGCTGGCAGCTGGCGGTGGAATGGTAGCAGGAGGTCTGAGCGTTTTTGGCCTGTGTGCTGGGGTCGGAACGGCGGCTGTTGAACGGAGCCTTTTCTGTACATGTTGAAATATTGATGATTTGTACACACGCGCGCATACACACACCATTTTGTGGAAATGGCGCTGCCTGATCGGAGGTTAAGGGGTCCAGGTTGCGCTGTTTCAGTAGTCGACGATGTTCGCTCTTCTTGTGGTCCAGGGTGCACTGTTGCGGCTCCATCCCCATCATTCCTTCGTGTCAGCTGGCCCTGGAACGGGAGTGGTCCAGGGTGTGCTGGTTTGTTTGGTCCATGGTGCACTTCTGCTTTGGTTAGGCGCCCCTAATGGCGACACTGCATGTTGGCCACGAAATCACTGCTCCCTGGAACCGGCCCCTAGACTAATCAAACACGGGCTCTCCGCTTGGAAGGTCTGCATGCCTTACGGGTCTCTGAAGAGATCCAGGATGAACGAAGGCATCGGCAGTGCGCGGGCTGCTCTTTCAGCTGGCATCATCTAGTGGTTGAAACGGTGAGAGCGCCACGAGAAGAAGCTTGTGACTTTCGACGCTCAGAGCAGGCAAAAGGAGCTGAAGGTCGTGGAAAGCAGCATGCTGGCGGACAGGGGCCTAGATTCCTTTCTTTTTCTGCCGCGGGTAGGGTGCATAGTTCGCACAATTTCGCACGTCATGAGGACCTGCAGACAGCGGCTTCCGAAAGGCAGCAGGCAGAGCAGAAGCATGAGGCAGGCAGTGTGGGGAGGCTCACCCCGTAGTTTGCATGATCCCCGACCCTGTCTCGGTTTTGAGAGAGGCAGCGTGCTTGTCGCGGTGCTTCCGCCCCGTTTCTTGTTCTTTCCCTCCTCGCCTTTCCCGGAGAACTCCATTCGTCATCCTGAACACTGGTCAGCTTACAACCTGGGCAATGCCGTCACTTCGCTAACTTCAGCACAAAATGGAAATCAATCTTTTTCCAGGCTTTGCATTTTGGTCTGCCCAGTTCATATTGACAATGGATGCAACTATGTGAAGTATTGCAGATATCCACCAGATTGCTAAGCGATTCTAAGTGAGTTGGATTTGCCCAAACTGTACGTCCGAAAGCACTTCGGGCTGTCATCTCGTTTTCGATTTGGACATCCGCACAGGAGTCGATCAGCAGCAGATTGGACGACTGCCGAGTGGAACTCCTCAAAGAGCAGTCGCAGAGGGAGACTGTGCCTTGCCAAGATGTGTAATGAACACTGCCTTGTGCTAAAGCAGGCTGTTTTGGGATTTATCAGATTTATCCTAAAAAGCAGATGCTGGCAGCTTCTGAACGAAGTCAGCGATGCTGAAGGCTGATGTCTTAGCAGACCTGCTGCAATCTGCGTGGGGCTCCAAGGTTCACGATGACTGTGGACGCGAAGTTGGTGAAGAGGCCGTCCCACACGGAAGTATTATAACTACTAGGTTACTATGAGGGCTTCATGGGGGTTCCAAATGATTTGTACAAGCGTTCTAAGAAGGTCCCAGTTCTGAATGGATTCATTCCGGTGGACCTGAGCCATGCTTCCCCACGAGACTGTCCCTGCCCAGACGTTTCATTGGGTTTTAGGGTTAGGGTTTAGGGTACTTAGTACAGAAAGCTGTCTTTAGCTTTGTGCTGGCATCGTTATGGGGTCCTTATAATATACGGATCCTATATTTCAGGCTACTAAATTAGGGCCCCTATTTTCGGAAACTCCCATAATTGAAGTATCCCACGATGCAGTATCCAAGGCCAACTGGTCTGCTTGCAGCGATCAGCGATCGATGCTGTCCCTGCACCTAGAGTTACCAACAACCAAGAACCATAAAAAAAAACAACCATGAACCATTCAAAATCAACAAGACTAGTAATGATCCATGGTTTTTGACCACGAAGCAACATCGCAAAAAAGCACTGACTTGTTCCTGGTGGGTGTATTTGCCTGGCTGAGTCCGAAGCCCAACACTCTTGGCTTTGACTCCGAAACCCTCTGCTGGAACGAACCTCAGCGTGACAAGCGCGCTGCTGTGGCTGCTGCTTCTCCGCCGCCGCTACTGCTAATGACACTACCGGTTATGGGAATGATGACACACGAAGAGTAGTGAGAGACACACTTCACATTGAACGCGAATGAAGGTAACTTGCTACGGCATATTCGCTAGCAGAGATGACACTTGCAATACGGTAATCACTACGATGCACGTAGTCTGGCCACGGGAGCAAGAGTAAACTACATTAGTGCTAGTATCCATACTACTGGAAGCGATGACGGCTGCAACTGCAGTTTTAGCAACAACGGTGACACGCGCAAGCAAATGAGTAACAATAACGGTAATCATACCCGCAACGGCAGTAGGAGGAACGATAGTAGTGGCATCACTTCAACAGAAACTAGATGCCAGCGATCGAGTGATACTAATGAGCAGAAGAATAGTAGGCACGAGTCGCAACACCATCAACACAAGAATCATGATTCCAACGCTTCATGTTGCTTTAGTTGCGGAACTGCTGCTGTAAGCAATCACCAGCATGACCAGGTTCAGAGACTCCAAGCTTTGCTCGAGAAGCAGACAGCAGCCCCTGTGCCGCAAATGGTTCTCAAACACGACCTTCTAAGTGAGGATTGGGTTTCGTGCGCAGGGTTGGACATATACGGCTTCGGGATTTTGACTGCGGGGTTTCGGAGGTTTGTCGAACAGACTCCTGAAAAGAAATGCGCAAACTTTTCCTTGCAGCACCTCGTCGCTGTATTTGCTTTCGTAAGTTTGTCCACTGCGGACTGAGCCTCGCGTGACCCTAAGCTTCAAGTATTGAGTCGGAAAGCCTTCGTGTGCAGCTGCGCTTGGAGTACGGGGAGCAGATCGTCGCCCACCTGGAGGCTTGATCAGCACTTTCTGACTTCGGTGCCTGCATTCGGTTCGTTTGGTTTGGTGTTGATCCTAGTCTTTTCTTCATGAGGCAATCTGTAGATTGATGGGAGAGCAGAACATGTTGACATGGTGTTTTTGCAAGTTCTGTTGATCAGGATGTCCTTGTTGCTGTGGGCTGCTGCTTCGATCTTTTCAATTTCGGTGTTGTGTCTCGACACTGTGAAATTCCGGGGATGTCGGTGCCAGGCAGAATTCAGGAAAGTCCAGGACGCTATTGTCAGCGAGCAGTCCGACCCTCTGCGGCCTCGCATGGTTTTCACGCGGTGTCCCAGTTGCAAGTCTGAGGCAGCTTCGATTCGAAGCAGAGGGCATGATGCTCCGGATGGTTGAGGACACGTCTGAGCTCTGGTCCCATGCCTGGGAGCGCGAGTCGGAGACGTGACAGGATGTATGTGGGCGACTACAGGCTGAGATTCAGCAGGACCGGGAGTGTTCAAGTCGACAGTTTCTGACGGCCATTGCGATTGTAATCAGTAGGGTTTCAGGGCATGCTGTGACTTTGCACAGCAGTGCCGGTGTTGCAGTAGAAGCCGAGTTCCCTGTGCCAGGCCCCTGCCGTGCAGGCCTCGGGCCATCCACCGTAGTTTTCAAACCGATCTGTCGAGTAAGACACCCATGGATGCCCGACAGCCGCCGAAGAAAAACATCTGCAAAGCACTGACACGAAATCGCTGAGAACAACTTTCGACATCATGCGCACAAGAGTCTTTCTTGCAAGGGTGTCATACTATATGTGGGTCCGAAAAAGGGAGCCTAAATTAGAGAACTGCCCCTATCATTGTGTGTTCAGGCTACTTCCCTCGTCCAGGTATTCAAGACTCGTATCGCTGCCTTGTTCGGTCTCTCAGTCTCTGATGCTCTCGCGCTTTGGAGCGGAAGACTGCATTTGTCGGTGCTGTTCCTATGTGGACTGGGCGGGCCTGCCGAACTGCATCGGCTTACGTACTGTGCGGGAGAACGGGAAAGCTGCTGCCACTACTACTACAACTGCTACTACTACTACTACTACTACTACTACTACTACTACTAGTACTACTACTACTACTACTACTACTACTACTACTACTACTACTACTACTACTACTACTACCACTACCACTACTACTACTACTACGACGACTACTACTTGACTGCTATGGTTGTTCTTCTCCCTGTCCTTCCTGCAGGAGCGCTCGCAGCGCGAGGCGGTCCAGAACAAGCTCTTGAGCCTGTAGCTGCCCCGGAGTTCGATACCATGGCGAGTTTAAGGGTTAGGGTTCAGGTGTGATTCCGTCTAGCAGTAGCCAGAAATGAGTAGTTATTGTTGCTGAGAACAGTATACGCAACAATAGTTTACCACCGTGATCACAAGTAGACAAGTATAGCCATCAGGTTAGCAAAATGCTTTTGGCAGACCCGAAACAACCGGACCAAGGTTGGAAGATACCTGCTCACAGATTGAGGCGCCAGCATCGTGGTCTTTGGGGACTGTTCGGAATTGTGGCCCTTCTAAATATGAGACAAAAGATATCTGATGTTGCAGTATATTCCGCTAATGTGGTCATAAATATATTAAGTTCTGCTGTATCATGGACTCGAGAACCGCTACTCGGTACGCGCCACTTGGGCAGTTGGTCAACTTGGTTTGGGATAGTGCGACGCTTGGGCAAGTGACAGTGGTCACTTGGTCTACGGTTTAGGGGCTAAAGGTTGCGGGCTTATTAGGGTTTAGGGCTTGGGGCTGAGAGTTTAGGGGCTTAGGGTTTACGGGCTTTGGTTTTGGGGGTTGGCAAGTGCGCCAGGTGAACCAAGTGGACCAAGTGACCGTGGTCGCTTGCCGAAGTCGTAAAGCACCAAACGGACCAAGCGACAGCATCAGTTCGGCAGCACCGGAAACCCTAAACCCATGGCCTCGAAAGGGCTTGCAAAAACGACCTGCTTACATGTCTCGTTCCTGTGCAGAACAGCTTCTCCCACCTCAACGATTCATCGCAGGTGGCTGGGGAGTGGTGGTGTTCTTTCATGCAAGCATGTTCGAGTTTCTGTTTGGTGGTTTGGGGAACAGGGGTGACAAGCGTCTACAATGTCTATAGTAGGGAGTTTCGGGTTTAGGGTGAAGTGTAAGCTGAGGGGCCGCGGTGCTGCAGGTGGCTTCCGACGTGTATTGACGGCAAGACGCTGTCCCCGGCTGCCAACTTAGATGACAGAATTCCTTGTTCGGTTGAGTCAGCTGCCGCTCATGATGATAATAGCGATGACGGTGACGATGATGCAGACGATGATGCTGTCGCTAGTGATGCTGCTACTGCCCTGATGATGGTTGCCATGACGACAACGGCGATCACGACGATGGCCATCATGATCAGTGGCGATGAGAATGGAAACGGTGCTGGCGGCTGTGACGCTTGTTGCGTTGTTGTTGAAGATGATGACGACGATGATCATCAAGATGATGTTGTTGTATCCGTTGCTAGCATTTTTTGCTGTCACTTTGGCTGTCGCAGCGGCTAAGGTTGCGGCGGTTGTTGTTGTTGTTGTTGTTGCTGTTGCTGTTGCTGCGACTGCGGCTGCGACTACGACAACAACGACTTCTACTACTATACTACCATTGCAACACCCCAATACTGTACTAGTCGAAAAGTGAGTACAAGAAGATCAGCACCAATTACGAATTCCCTCCACTCCCTTCACTGCTTGCAGACCCAAGACACGATTTAGCTGTGTTTCGGGCTTGCAGCTGAGGTGGCCAGATTGCAAGTCACGCGCACCGTTAATGACAGTTTGGCGGAGGCAGCACAGCCCGTCGCCAACTTGGGGTTGAAAAAGGGGGCCTGCAAGACACGGGGCTTTACCAGCCACTCGCAAGTCTTAGCACAGCGGGCTGTGTTGATGCGTTGATTGTGCGCTCGCCTGTCTTTCGAAGCCTCGTCGCTGCATTTTCTCCCAAGGTCGCTCCCTTGATATGAGGCAATCACGCAGAAATCATCATCAGCCGAAAGCACTATGAATGAAGACCTCGCTTCTCACCCGACGATCACAGGCCAGGGCGGTGCAGAGCGTTTGGGCTCCCTTCAACCCTTCCGCTGGTCCCATGGCAGCGGCACGAGATGCAAGGGCCTGATGCCCCGGAGGAAGCCGGGGGCTTGGTTCCCCACACAAGGAACCCAGACCGTGAGGAACCCCACCCTAAACCCCATTACTCACACAAAGTCAAAGCCAGGAACACATCCAGAGCTGAGGCGCCCGAGCCGTGGCAGGTGCTTCTGTCTGCAGGGCTATTAAACTACCTGCGCTTCATCGAGGCGAGGGGGGGCGGTTCCGGGGCCCACGAGACCGAGAAAGTGTGGGCTTCTTTTGGAAGGCCAGGTTCCTGCAAGGCTTGTGCCGTTCTTCCCATTTGTTTAGTTCGGGGCGATCAGGCGGGAGGCAGCATTTCTTTAACAGCCCTTTGGGTCCCCTTGTCCAGTTTTACGTGGGTCGGCCGCGCAAGTTCAACTAGTAACTCGTATAGCTCGCACTAAAGCAGGGCTGCTCGGTTTTGTTTTTCGAAGCTTCTTCAACTGGGATGAGCTGTTTGCCTCTCCAATCCTACTCCAGCTGCACAACTCGGAATTGATAACAACTCGCTACCTGAGGGGCTGTAAGGTTTCACTCCAGCAGTAGACTCTCCTTATGGCGCTCTACCGGGAATCCCGCAGACCAAGCTTTACTGTTCAGAGAAGGGGATCCGTTTTGCTACCGAACCAAAAAAAAACCCTGTGTAAGTAAAAACCTACACCCGTAGCATCCGATATCATCCGATGAACCCTTTGCACGCTGGTGATGCGCCAGGCCCGGAGATGTTGCCTCGTGTGCCCCGATCTGCGGGGCCTCATCCGCGGGAAGGACAGTGGATGAGTCGCGTCGGGTTGTCAAGTGCGGTGCTCTAACAGTTCCAATCAGCTTCTTGATGGTCTGGGTTCTTTCTATCGGATTTCTTGCCGGCGTAACATCCGAGTCGCGGATTCTTGGTGCTTACTTCCGAGTCCAAGGGCTCCGGTGTTCAGGGTCCCAAGCTTCAGAGATGTCCAGAGCACGGCGACTGTGGACTTTGGCTCTTCGGACCGCCAGGACTGCCAAGGCTGGCTCTCCGTTTCGCCTCGGGGCGCAGGGGCGATGAAGTCGGGAGATGGAGCTCTGGGTTTACAGGTTTTAGGGTTTAGGGTTTAGGGTTTAAGGTTGAGGCTTGGGGTTTAAGAGCTTTTGGAGTTTCAAGGGTTTGTGGCTCAGGGGCTTACGAGTTTAGGGCTTTGCATCAAAGGCTCAGGGCTGAGGGCTTTCGAAGCTTCGTATTTTGTTGAGGGAACTCAATAAAGGAAGCGGGCTGGCGTCAAAAACTCTGAAGTTGTTTGACTCCGCTAGAATCTCGAATGCAAAACCCGACTTTGTTTTGCAGCTGCCTCGGGCCGTGACCCTCGAAGATCCGCCCTGCCCTCTCCACAAGAGGGCAAAGTCCACAAGCCAGGATGCCAAAAAGCTGACCCTTGAATCACGAGAGTCTCGAAATGGCATTGGGATCTGATTACGACCAGGCCAGCCGGGATGGTCCGTTGGACTCCCAGGTGGGATCTCGCGATCTGCCGGCACATGGGGTCTAGGGCCGTTGAGGGTTTGGGGTTTAGAGTTTAGCGATGCGGGTTTAGGGTTCTACGGTTTGGGGTGTAGTAGCACGGTTGCATGAACAGTATGCGTGGGTGTAATTTGGTGTAATGAGACGTGCGTCGTTTTTCGTAGCATCAGATACCCGTCGAGCGCTCCGAAGTTGTCAGTGCAACAGCTGCTTCGACCAGCCAGTTTTTCGGGCGCAGTTATGCTGTTCTTTCCAAGCCCCGCTTGGGCGACCTGAGGCAACCAATCATGGAAGCCCTGTGGAACGAAGACTTGGGGACTCGGCGCGCGAGTGCCTGGAAGGCCAATGGGGGCCAGGGAGTGTGAAGCAGGCTGCAAGGGGATCGCGTCGGGGATCTCTTTCAGGATTACTCGCAATCTGAACATCACCTTCATGTGATAGAGTTTCTAGGAACGAGGATCCTGCGACGCTGCAAGATGTCCTCGTTCTTGGGGAGGGTTGCAAGCTGAATGCACGGCCAGTCGCAGCAATGCCAGGAGCTGCTGCTGGGCGGCATAACCTTGCAACCTGACTCCGGAGACTATGCTCCTGGGCAGAGTGCAGACCTGTTGGGGGAAGGGAGGACGGGAGGAGGGGAGGAGGGGAGGAGGGGAGGAGGGGGCGGGGTTGGATGAGGCCTGCGGATCTCGTTGGTGGAATTTCTGTTGCTTGAGTTTGTCCGTTCTCGCATGTTGTCAGCTGCCCCGAGTTACAGACCACGAGTCACGGACCAGAGGAGTGCATGATTCTGTGTTAGGAGTGAATCTGCTAAGGACACACTCTGCAAGCAGGAATGTGCTTATGATTCGGCAATCCGCCGAGATGTACATAGAGACCTGGCGTGGACAATTCCTGTGATCGGAAGCCACATCTGAAGCGAGTCGGAGATTTTCGTGTCCAGTGAGTGATCCCTGGAGCTGAACCCGAAGTCATCACCAGTCTCAGGAACGCTTCCCCAAGAGCCGCTCTTCAGGGAAGATGGAAATGGGCAGCACATGCTCTTCAGGCCGATGTTCATGCGCTTTAACCTGAACCCAATCCTAAACCCTTAACCCTCAACCCTGACCTGATAAAGTAGGCTTGGTTCCTCGGCCAAACCGGCAGGCTCTTGCATGCCCTGGCGATTCGACTCAGCGAAATCGGCTACTGTCAAAGTCTGTGTGGGCCTTAGAAGCTCATTTTCTGCTTCTTCTTACTACCACTATCATTATGACTACTCTGAACATTGCTACCACTGTTGCTAGTTGCCAGAGCAGCTCCATCTCAGGAACTTCGTCGTTGCAACGATGCGTCATGGTTGCAGCCTACGAAGCTAGCAGGGGTTGTGTATTTGTCGCTCTTCTTCTGATTGTTATTATGGTTCTTGTTACGATTATAACTATGACTATTATGATGATTAATTTGTTTATGTCTATATACATAGTATCTGTATGTAGAGCTTTGGGTTCCTACCGAAGGGTTTGGACCATCGCCCTACGCACGATTTTTCCGTCATGCACGGCATTCAAGCACCAGTGGCTTGAAGGTCCTTCGTGATCTGCACATAGATCTGCCCAGATGGGCTCTCTAACCTGGAGATGTCGCATGTCAGCCTGTACACTTTTCTCCTCAATTAGGGCCTGGTGCGGCGCCATCTGAGGGTTCTCGTTTTTCCCGAAGACGAGCTTTCGTCTTTCAACTGTGGCTTGGCCCTGCTTCTTCGGCATTCTTTGGTGGACTTGTACAGGCCCGGGAGCTCGGGACTTATGTGTGGAAGTTGTAATGTGTGTTGCAGGCCACAGTTTGGCAGGCTGCGGTCTTCTTCGATTGCATGCGATGCTCTTCTTTCTCATTTCCGCTGGCTGGATTCCGGTAGTATGGGAGCCCCCTTGTCCAGCTCTCACCCTGCATGGCCTGCGTTTCCGAAGACGCATAAGGGCCCACAGAGGTTAGAGTCCAAACCCCGATGCCCTCTAAACGAGGCCAGAACCCTAAACCCTGGACACTACCCCTAAACCCTATAGACCCTAAACCCAAAACCCTGAACCATAAACCTTAAACCCTAACCCCTAAATCTTAAACCCTGAACCCCCATAATACCCATAATCCCCAAAGCCCGGGGGCAGGCCAAAGTTCCAGAAGCTGGGCGTGGTACTCTGGCAGTTCGACCGCCTTGTTGAGGGCTTCCTGCCGAAGGTTCACGCGGCCCTCACAAGGAGCCTTGGCTTCTACGTTGCCCTTTGCTTTGAGGGGGGCTGGGTATAGAGATCAGAAAGCACTTAAAGGGTTTTTGTGAGGGGTTTAATGTCAAGGTTTGGGATCCATTGAGTTAGGGTTTAGGTTCGCTTTCAGGGCCTCTTAAGGGAAATTAGAAGGATTCTTCCTGCAGCATCGTCATTTCAATTAGCGGCAGAGTCGATCGGTACAGAGACTGGCTCCGTTGTGGAAGCATCTTGAACCCCAGCTATGTATCCTACCTTCCAAGTCACCCACTTCTCCGAACAAGATTTCAAGATGCCAGATTTCGTACTCGTATCTTCAGAACAGGAGCGCGCATCTTTGTGACTTACCCTCATTGTCTGCACTGGCGGCCCAGGCATGGTGTCAACTCGGAGTACTACGCGATACAATGGTTTCTGACTCTCTATGCCAGCGATCTTCGACAGGAAGTGGTTCGCAGAATCTGGGATCGCTTCCTGGTCGCTGGCTGGAGGGTCGTCGCCCAAATCGGCCTTGCCCTGCTGTATCGCATCCAAGACTCCTTGATTCACATGGCCCTTTGCTGAGCATCCTGTTGTCAACTCGACCTGTGCCGAGACGGTGATCTGTCCTCATGTTGCTCAGGACACTTGTCAAGCGCTCTCCTTTCTGAAGAGGTGCATTGCCCAACACGACTTCACACCCTCCGTTCGCCCAGTGTTGCAGACATCCGGCAGGTTCACCCGGAACGCGAAGTTCACCGCGAAGGAGCTTCTGGACACGGCGGCGACCTTCAAGGCGGGGCGATCGGGGGGGGCTTTGTGCTGCTGCCTTTGACGGGCCCATCAGGTGTCGCATCGGATGCTCTCGGCTTTAGAGGCAGCCTACGGCTGGCCCGGTGAGTCGCAGCTGACGGTCGTGAAGGACCTGAACAGCGGCCGCCCAGTTGCGTTTCCATGTGTCTCGAAGCAATGCGTGACATGTGAAGCTGAGGTCAGGTCCACTGGATTGTGCAAGCGGTGCAGCCGAAACTGAGTTGTGCCTACAACGATTCTCCCGATGCGGAGTACGAGGTGTGGAATTGCAAACTTGCTGTGCGACTCGGGAAGAGCTTGGGTCATCTACAGTTTCTAGCCTTTTCGGAGTCAGGAGTCAGGGCTTTCTGTTGTTAGTAATTGCACTACCAGAGCAGAAGTTTTTGGTTGCTAGCAGCAATTCTGTGGCACTGATTCTTAGTATTCTTCGTTGTCTTGAAGTATGTTATAGTACTAGGAAACACTATCGCTTTGGCAATCCTTGAGTACTCTCATCGTACTCTCATAGTATTCCGATCGTACTAGCTTGGTACGCCTGGTACTATTGTAGGTAACTTGTTTGTTCTTGTGGTACTATTCTAGCACTGGTACACTGGAATTGCACTTTCTCAAAGAGTGTCGTCTTGGTCCGGCGCAGGAGCCAGCTGTGCGATCTTTTGCGCGAGCCTCCACCTCTGGGGAAGGCCAGCGATGATTTAGGCTTGATAGGGCTTCGGGTTAAGGGGTTAAGGGGGCTTTATCTTGGGTTTGGTTAACGGGTGAAGGGTTCACAGGATTCAGTGGTTTAATTCAGGTTCAGGATTGACGGGATTTGGGGCTTACGGTTTAGGGTTTGGGGTTTACACGACGTAGGGCTTTGGGTTTAGGGTTTCGATTTTTTTTGGATTGAGGTTCGTTGAGGGCTTAGGATTTGGGGTTTGGGCCTGGCGTTGATTTCAGAAATTTCGGGTTTAGAGCCTGCGGTTTGGGGGATTTATCAGGTCTCAAGCTTTGGTGCTTGGGGTTCATGGGATGTAAGGTTTTAAGGTTTGGAGTTTCTTGAATTTTGAGTCTAGGGTTTGAGATCTGGGGTGCAACCAAAGTCTTTGTCCATGTGTTTGCCCTTTCCATGTGTTCGTCTGTTCAACGAATCTACGAATACATAACGCAACATATAAAGCACTAACCAGCAAGTACATCAACACATACTTCGTTTCGGAGGTGCGCAGAAAGTCAAAGTATAAGTAGGCACGTAGACAAATCTTCTGTAGATGAATGGGTGAGTAGATACATGGGAATCCAATAAATGATTAGATTACCAAGACAAACAGAGAAATGGCTTAAACGATACGAGAAAAGTAGACACATGAATACCGATGATCGATTCTTTCGTCCATCCATCCATACATGCATACATGCACTTACCAATACTCGCATACATATGCGCATATATGCCTCACACATACACATACTCGTGCATCTTCCCTTTCCCTTCCCTTCCCTTCCCTTCCCTCCCTTCCCTTCCCTCCCTTCCCTTCCCTCCTCCCCGTCTACCTTCCTACCTTCCCACCTTCCTACCTTCTTGCTAGTACCTTCCAACCTTCCTGCCTACCTACTTTCCACCTACCTGCCTACCTTGCTACCTTCTTACCCTCTTTCCTACCTTCCTACTTTCCGACCTGTCGACCCACTACAGTTCTACCTACCTGCCGACCGACCCACCGACCAACTCCGACCGACCGACCGACCTACCTATCCTACCCATCCTACCTATCTACCTATCCTACCTACCTACCTTCCTAACCTACCTGCCTACCTACAATTGAGTCTAATCTGTCTATCTAACCTATCTGTCTATCGATCTATCCATCTGCGCAGTTCATGGTTGCTTTGTGACGCTGATCGTCTGCTCGCAGGCGATCGCAACTGCCCCCAAGGCAAAGTCCTGCCGTTCCTGCTGCACAACCTTGACACCGGCGAGACGACCATGATGGAGAAGGCGAGTTTAGGTTTTTTTCGCTGAGGGCAATGGTGGAAGATAGAAATGGTCGGATTGTTGAGTATAGGTGATGTTTCCAGTTCCGTCCGAGCGAGACAGGCGTTCTCCCAGTACAAGGGGGAGATGCACGAGCAAGCCCGGGCCAAAGCCGGTCCTGCACAGGCCAGGCCTGAAGACTGCGGCCTCGCTACCAGTGGTTAGGTCTGATGTGGGTGGTTGTCAAAATGATAGTCCCTTTTTGGGTACCCTAAATAATAGCAAAAAGGGACCCTAATTTTGACTCCCCATCATGTGTCAAGGAAGAACCTTGCTCCGGGCAGGCCGCGCCTTCGGCGGCGGAGATGCCGGCCCTGAGCGGGGAGTTGTCGGAGTATTCGGACATGCCAGCCGGCAGCTTTTGGATGCAGCCCGGTGCCCAGCTCTACAGGATTGCATGGGGTCAAGTTGGAGCAGAGATGGTAAGCAGATGTTTGAGAGGTAGGGCTAGGGGCTGGGGGGGGGCAACCTGCTTGACACTGGCGATGGCTGCAGTTTTTTGTAAGGACCGTTCAGCGGCAAGCCGAACGCCGGCTTGCTCAAGCATGAGCTACATCAGCAACTATACCTTAGATTCACAAGCTGTGGAAAGTCACTTCTTTCTTTTCCTTGAGTAAGGAGGAAAGAATCATGCTTCTGTCCCTTCCCTCGCCCTAAAAAGGGTGCGGGACTTGAGTCCGGAGCAAGATAGCGAAGCCAAAGCGACAGGGTGAGAACTGGCAGGAGGGGCAAGTTCAGATGCAGTGAGCTGCTGTGGGGCCTGCTTGAACATGCGCTCAGCATGATATCCATTGTGTGACACCGATTTCTCTGCGATTGGACCCAGTGGCACGAACACAGCTGCATGAAAAGCTGTTACACGGTTGTGCAGACTGCAAGCGAAAGCCAAGATGCAGCCCGACAACCATGAACGGATGCGCTTGCAATCTTGTGAGAGCACTGCAGCTGAATCCAGCACCTACCGTACAAAGTCCGCCAGTCCGGCCTGCTGGAACTGCTCGTGGGGCCATGTTCATGCGGGCCTGACATGGGTCGCAAGAAGCTTCCGCCCGAGGACTTAACCCCTCTCTACAAACCTTCCTCGTTCGAAGTTCGATGACCCCGAATGTCTGCCTATTGGAGGAGGAAGCGGTGGTCTTAGCCAATGTCGCGGAAAGGGCAGAGCGCTACGAAGACATGGTGGACTACATGAAGGCGAGGAAATCGAGCGTTTTATTTATGTCTGCCACAGCTTACGACCCTTTCGATGCTCATTACATTGCCGAGGAGCGGGTTAAGGCCGGCAAAGCTCTGGCCCGTGAGGAGCGCGAGATGTTTGCGGCGGCTTACAAGGTCCCCGGGGCCCGGGAAAAAGCGGGAGGTTGCAATGGAGGTTCCCAGGAGCTCAAGGGCTCGGGGGCTCGGGGGCTCGGGAGCTCGGGAGCATTGGCTGCGATCGCACCCGCCAGGGGCTCATGGCCAGCCGACGCTTTGCCGTACGCGTGGCCAAGAGCGTCCAAGAGCAGGAGGCGTGGCCGCGCCCACACTGCCGCTTGCTTTCTTCTTCTTTCTTCCTCTCGGCTCCTCTGAGGCCGACGCAGAGAAGGAGAAGAACGCGGCCCTGGCTGCAGGCTACCTGAGCAAGGCACGGGCTCGGAATTTCGGGTTTGCTGGCGGTACCCGTAGCCTCACGGGAAGGTCCGCCTTGAGCTGCAGGGCATTTGCATCCAGGCCGAGTGTCGGAGATGATATTGTCGCGGTATCGGAGTCTTCCTGGCTCCGCTTGAGAGGTGCTGGAGATCCTGGAGGGCATCTTGCTGCCTGCGCCTTGGAGTGGGCTGCGGGAGCTTGGACAAGCCATGGTCCTGTCCGGAAGGCCAAAGGCTGAGACGGGTGAGCCCAAGGTCTTTTACCTGAAGCTGCAGGCAGAGCCGAAAGCAGGGAACGTCAGGGAAGCTCATTGCAGTGATTGGCAGGCGGACTACTATCGCTACTTGGCCGAGTTTCTGGAAGGAGAAGGTCAAAGAGAGGCCCTGGTCATGCGAATACTACAACTTGATGCACCAAATCAACACGCGTTCATGTCGGGCTCAGCACGGCACTGGGCATCCTCGTGAGGCTCTCGCCAGTGCGGCCGAGTCTTACGTGACCGCCACGGGCGAGGAGACCCAACAATTTTGTTGCATCTTTTAGGGCGGCCATGTCTTCTCTCCAAAGCCCCAGCGTTCACTTCGCTTACCGCAGGCTGAGAAGCACCTCATGGTCACCCATCCCGTGCGGCTCGGTGTGGCTCTGAATCACGCGGTCCCCAACTCAGAGCGCGCTATGGAGGGAGCCTGGGCACGGAATCATGTGTCGAGGTGTTCAAACACACCGTGATGAAGGACTCTCGCAATCTGCTTGGGTGGTCTTTGCTGTTGCTCTGGGACAGGACCCTGCAGCGGCTGCACAGATCGTCAAGGCACCTCCTCGGCCTCATCGAAGCGCACTCGCTCGGTCCGAGCATCGGCCGCGGTGAAAGGAGTCGCTGGAGCTAGCAGCGCGCAGCCTCGAGGGAATGCCAGAGGCGGACACGTGGCGTGTCATGGCTATTGCGGCTGTTGGATTGAAACTGACAACGACATATCTGTTATCACTTGACCAGGAAGCTGTTCGTGATGCGCAGCCACTTGTCGCCATCATGCAGGCGAGGGATGGTTTGCCATGATGTGTTGTCGCCGGCTGTGAACTTGAGCCGACAAGGACAACTTGAGGATGTGGTTGGATGAGGCATCGTCCTAATCTTCAGCTGTAGTTGGCGTGGTGGCTGCAACCATGGACTCACGGTTTTGTAGTTTTTCATTAAGACTTGTAGTGGAATGTGATTGAAGAGTGAGGGGGTCTGAGTATGAACCAAACTCAACAACTTTGCAGCTGGGACCGTGCCATGCTCAGCCTCATGTAGTGAGACCTGTGCAGATCGCTTTCACCCAGAATTCAGCTGATACCACACAGCTCATCATTGCATCCTGGTATAGCTCTGGCCCATATATGGGCCCTACAGAAACCTCCAAAAAAGCTTGGGACCTGTGTTGGTAGATGCCTGTGCATCGACTCCTGCCCTCAGCAAAGCGCGGCTCCGCCTGCATCTGTCGGCAGCCACGAAGAAAGGAAGCGAGCCGTACAGCAAATCTCGGTCATGTGTGGAATAATCAGTCTAATTAAGTGACTGTCCACCTTTCAGTATTGCGTGGTTCCTTGGTCTAGTATGTGCTAGACCATGTGCCGTCATCGCCAGCATCGCCAGCATAAATACGTTTTGGCCATGTCGTCGTCAATGTCCAATCGTGTGCGAATCTCACATGGCAACTTGCAATCAGGGGTTTTGGCTGCTAGCCACTGGGTGAATGCTTCGTGTGGCCGTCAACTCCTGGCCCAAGCTGAGAGCCTGGCTGTCGTGCCCAGCTGTAGGCGCCTCCGGCGTGGTCGAGCACCGGTTTTAGTTTAGGGTTTAGTTTTGGATGAAGTTGAATTTTGTGACGCGACCCGTAAGCAATGGTGACGGTAGTCCACGTCTGTTCACTGGAAGCTTCCGCTGTAATCCGCTGTATTCACTCTGTCGTAACTGAGCTCATCGTGACCCGGCTGAGATTGCAGGTTTGGATGGACAAAGAAGTTGCCTCAAAGAAAGTTCCAGCCATCCGAGGCATGGGTGAGGCATCGCACCTGGACGACATGTTTTATCATGTTTTCGCATCGTACAGCAGCGTATGCAAGCAAGGGATAGTCTGGAAACGGTAATTCACTTTTCTCACAATATCCAGACTACAAGTCTTACAGTGCTATCTAGCGGCTAGCGGTCAAGCGTGAATTGTGGAAGCTGTGATGTCCCGGAGACGCTGCTGCAGGTGACAGATGCGAAGTGCCGGACTCGTGAGGGTATCTGTTTCGGAGGCTGTTGGATGCTGCTGAGAGTTGTCGCAGGTAGTCAAGTTCAACGCAATATTCAAACATTGGCTCTCGGCAGAATATTGGAATACCATATGACCACGTGTAAATGCACAAGCTGGCTTCACAATCAAACATGTCACCACTCACACAACGCAGCGGAGTCGGAGCCTGCAACCAATCACAAGACTAGCGTGGCGAGGCTTTCATTTCTAGCTGCGTTAGCCGTGGGGCTTGCCAGCTGGAAGCCTGGGTTGATTGATTAATCCACCAAAACCCTCCTCTCCCCTTCCCTTCCCCCTTCCCCCTCTCCTACCCGCTCTACCCTTGCCCCTCCCCTGTCCGCACACTTGCTCTCCTCTGAGGTGCTGATGCTTTGGATTTTGGATGTGATGGGATGTGATAAGATGCCGGCTGTTTCCACTACGTTGCGTGCGCGGTTGGGTGTTTTTTTATGTGGGATGATGTGGCATGCCTGGACCCTGCCTCACCTCCGTTTCCCTTCAGTTTTTTCGACGTGATATGATGCTGGAGAATCCTCAACAACATCTTTCATGCTTCTGTCAGCATATCCCCCACCCGACAACCTAGTCTCGAATGCCTAGTAGTCTTGCTTTGCTCCCACAAAATCTGTTTTGGCTCTTCTACTCTCTCACTGTCACTGTATTGATATTGTCATACTTATCTCTGTGGTTTAGTTCTATATTATTGTCATACTTATCTCTTCTTAAGCTCTGTCGGTCCAAGAAGCAAAGGTCGCAGGCGATCCTCCGCACGAAAGAGGGCGGTGCCGAGGTGCGGCCTTGGTGGCGGGTTGGGCCCGGTTTCACGAAGAAAAAGGAGGGGCCCTTAATGGGGAGCCGCCTGGGTTAGGGTTTAGGGTTTAGGGTTTAGGGTGAGCCCTACCCTATAATGGGCTATATAATGGGTATAGAAAGCGAGTCCGAGTCCAAGTGCAGTCCTGGTTCCTGGCCAGGATGTCAGAACGAGGATAGTTGCCATGGTGAAGGACACGCCGATTCTTGCTGACTGTACACGAGTAGGTCATATCCAGCTGCCGCTGGAGCAAAGCATGAGCAAAAGTGAAAGGTTATTGACTGTTGCCAGGCGTGAGTGGTGAATATCACGTTGAGTGTCCCTCGACAGCAGTTCGGCCTGCATTTTCTCGGTTGGCCAGGAACCTCAGTTCCAGATGCTGACAATCTCGACTGGAGCAGGGGTCAGCTGACCAGCAGAAGAGTCATGTTTCATGTATTTGGCGCCTCATCCACCGTGACAGTCTACTTACAAGGACATGTCACTTGTCAAGCATCATTGGCATCATGTGGTAGTGAGTTTTGGCTGGAGCAGGGGTCGCAACCTCAGCAGAGTATCGTCATCTTACTCCTTGTGCTATGCGCATAGTCACAACACGCATGACAGACTCGATCAGCACATAAATTTTGGAGATTACTTTGACAACGTGGTCTAGCAGGATGACGGAATGAACGGGAACTCAGTTCAATCACCCATATTGCCGATAATGTAGCAGCATCTAGGCAGTTTTCGATACACATCGATACACTGTGGCCTGGTGTAGTGTAGTAGTGTACTCGCGTGATCTAACCAGGTCGTCGTGATCTATTCGGTGTAAGGAGAAGCTCGAAACAGAGCAAAGTAGCAGTGGAGCAAGACTCGCAGCGAGACGAACATACAACACCGCAACTCTTCGGCCTGTTTGGAACAGAGACTCCTCCAAGCCTGTCCTATGCTCGAAATGCAGGCTATCACTGTGGGAGCTGCCGGAGGCGCTTTCGGCATAGCCACGGGCATCATGGCCGGCTCCGTCGTAGGGGTCGCCCCTGCATTGGCAACGCTGCCTGGCTTGCATGGATTCTTTCCGCCACCGAGAGCCACAGCCAGAGACCGTGAAGCTGCAGGTTTGGCCTCTCAATTCCAGCAGGGGCCATGCTGGGCGCCGCTGCAGGCGAGGCGCCTCTGCCCCTCTGTGCTCTGTGCTCCCTCCGCTTTCTTTTTGGGAGTGCCTTATCGGAGGCCTCCTCGTGGGCACCACGGCGGGTGGCGTCGCCGGGGGCACCGGCGGCTTCTGCCTCTACAAGTACAGAGCCTCTCGTCAACTCAATGCGTGTAAACCCGTGTTTCTAAGGGGTGCTCCAGGGGGGCCCATCTGATCCCATCCGGTGAGGTCCAGATCAAAGACGGCGTGGTCCGCGTGCAGCTGAAGGCTCGAACTCTGCTCTTCACATCTTCACTTTTTTGTTGCCTGGCCTGCGCCGGTCGCTGGAGGCTCGGAAATCCCTGTCGGAGGGATGTCAGACGGCACGGAAGTCCCTGTCCGACGGATGCGAGACGGTCAAAGGCAACGGTCACAAATGTGCGAACGGCAGCCCTGCTCAAGCAGATGTGGCAGCCTTGGTGGAAGGTGTCACCTCTCGCGCCAAGCTGGCCATTGAGTCGGCCAGAACGAAGGCCCACGAGAAGGCATGGAATGATGCCCCCCCCACCCTCCCCTGTGACACCTTTCCTTGACTCGCTGACCAGAATGAAGCCGATTCGGCTGTCGCTCCCAAGGCTCCCAAAACAAGCCAAAGCAAGCCACGCTCTCCATGATCGTAGCCAACGATCAACGATGCCGGTCCGGAGGTGGGCGAGGCCATGACCCTTGCGACCTCCTCGCGCGCCGGATTCACCTCGGCTTCGACGATGCTGCTGGGCCTCTGAAGCATTAACATCTGGTTCGACAGCTGCTGGGCGGTTGCTACGGAGCCCGATCTTCCCCAAAAGGCCTAAGCCGCCAGGCTGGGTGGCTCACTGGGCACCGTGGCCGGTGCGGCCTGCGGCGCAGCCTGCGGCGCTGCCGTGGGCTTGGCCCGGCTCTCAACTCCCAAAGGCTAGGTTACTGATGGTACCAGTGGTACCGTGGCAGCCCTTACAGAATATTACAGAACCCTTAGGGAAGTCAGAGCTTGTAGGAAAATCAGGATGTGTCCTAGGTGCCAGCGGTCTTCACCTTGGGTCTCTCGATCCCCATCAGTGCCGGGATCGGCTTGGCAGCCGGGGCGACCACGGGCGGTGGTGCCGGGGCACTCGGCGGCTGCTTGGAAGAATTTGGGCCCGGCGGACCTGCTGTAAGCTTTACTCTAAGGTAAGGACGCTAACACGGGAGGGTTCTGTAGATGTTTATGACGATGGAGGGTTGCATTGGATTTGGGTTTTGATGCAGGAAGCTTTTGCCACCTTAGATGAGTGTGACGTGCATGGCTGTGTACCAGGCGGTGCATGTGGCTTTGTGGGCTTCACGTACCGAGAAGAGATCAAGAGGCCAGGCCGTTGCCTTTTGTCATGTCGTGCATGCATGTTAGAAATGCAAGTGCGGGGCGCAAGAAGTGCCGTCGCACCAGCCATCTCCTGCGGGAAGGTGTCTTGTCATGTTATAAGCGAGCCTATGCTTGAAATTGCCACATGGAGCATGCCGTGTTTTCGCTCGCACTGCCAGATCTGCGGGCTACCTTCGAACGAAGACCATGGATTCCGCCGCCCAGGTGAAGGGCCGAGTCCTTTCAGCTTCGGCTTTCGGATCTCTTTGAGTCTCGAGGTTACTGAGCGAGTGACGTCCTTGGTCGGACTGGGATCGGGGAAGACTGCATGAAGTTTGTTGCATTGTCAGCCTGGCATGTATTGCATCCAACTTTCGTCGATGTAGATTTCCGCGTCTGCTTACTCCGTGGCAGCCTGGCTGGCCGCACCCTTGTTATCAGCCGAGATTTGACTCTACACGTGGGTGAGCTCTGTACATGAAGTTCATGCCACGTGCCAGGTCTCCGGCATGATGCCTGCAGCCTTCCACAGATGGCCCTCTTGTTTTCCATGCATTGCTGGCGCGCACTGCACTGTTCCAGAGCAGAGCCCACGGTGTCTTGAAGCCAAGCATGCTTGAGTTGAGCCATCGCGCCAGCCTGCACCGTGGCCATGAAACCGGCTGCAAAGATGGCAATCGTCGTGAGGATCTGACAACTGTTTGGCACTGTAGCCCCAGCTTCTCGAGCTCTGGCTGGCCTCCAGGCACAGTTGTCGGAGGCAGACGTCTGCCTCCAGCTAATTCGATGAGAGCGGTCAGCTTGCTCAGTGTTTTGCTGACCAACTTTTGGCTCTATTTGTTTTCGCTCGTGTGCATCTGCTCAGCTCGCGCCAAGCATCAAGTCAACAGAAGACAGGGGGCAACGGCAGTCCAGCAACTCCGTCGTAATGCCTGCTAGTAGCTCCCTCAGCGTGATCCGCCGGCAGTCCCCCGCTCGTCCCTCCGAAGCCGTGTGGCTCCGTTTTGTGCAGGCTCGTGCTCGTCCAGCCTTAGTGCAACTCTCATGGCCGTCCTGCGGTCAACTCGCAGGCAGGGGTATGTACAGATTCTCAGCGCACCGACCGGCTTCCCCTGCAACGGAGCAGACGTCCATGTTTGGGAAGGCCTTTGCTTGCGACGGCAATTTTCCTGCTTTCGTGGCAGGCCAGCCTGCCGTATCCTGCTTCTGCTTGTTCTTGCATGGGTACCGAATGTATCCACGATTCAGGGGCATTCCGTACCCTGCTTGTTGTTGAGAATCTCATATTCTTTCGCCAGACTTCGCAGCTTGTCACGACTGTCTTCGTGGGCGGCGGCTCTGTTGCCAGACAGGCCAAGCATCACGGCAAACCGTAAGCCTTGAGAAGTAAGCGAAGTGGGGTGCAAGGAGCAGAATTGCAATCGGAAGGTGCAAGTAGTGCGGTACGCTGACAGCCCGATGGCTCAGGAAGCATCGGGTCAGAAGCGTGACTGCAGAACACCCTGATTATCGTCTGCCGCCCGAGGCTACTCACTTCGATACTTCGATGTCCGCGGTGCGGCTGAGTGGCTGCCTCGGATTTTGTTGCCTTCGGCATCCTTCAGCCTTTCCTTCTGGCACCGAAACCTAGGACCATTCGCCTCCTACTTGCAGCTGCGGGACAAGATTACGAGGCCCGCCCGACGTCAGCATGGTCGAGGATGGTGCTGAGAGTCATGAGGGTCGAGCTTCAGGACAGCCGATATCCGCTGAGCTTCGGCGTGCCTGGGGACTTCTCCACCATCGTTCGAAAGGACGGAAACAAAGCAGCAGCATTGGGATGAAGAGCAGCGGTCCTGTAGATTCCTGCAGCATGCCAGAGCTTAGGCTCCAGGCAGAGGCATGCAGAGGCAGGCCCAGGCTCAGGATGTAAACTCTGCAATCCGATGTGATCCGATGTGGGGCCCTCATGACATGACTTATGACGGTCGGCAGTTTTGAGTTGGCTGTGTGCAGCTTCGATGTCAATTCGCCGACGTTGCATCGTGAATTTCGGAGTGTACACGACAGCCGCAGCAAGGCGGTTGCATCACCAGCATGCCATGGCAGCACAACTGTTAACGTCGCCTTGCAGGTAAAATTCACAACTCCGGGCGGTGTCTGTCGCGGTAGTATCGGGCTTGTGCAGAGCCATGGGCGCAGACATCCCAATGCTCTTGCTGGGAGCGCCGAAAGCTCCCCACGGAATTTCCGCCTCAACCACCTCCCCTGCCAGCACACACAGAGCGACGGAGGCGAAGACGACGAGGAGGTCGAATTCGAGCTTGGCACACACGAGACCTTCCTCAGCCATCGCGAGAAGAGGTCCCGCAGCACCAAAAGAAGCCGTAGCACGTCCAAAAGCATGTGACCTTGCAGAAACACAAACAGATTCAGTTTTGCGGTGGCGGCTGTCGACATGGAGGAGAACGTGGGCGACCGGCTCCGACAGCTCTCCGCGCTGTAGCTGCATTCGAGCCTTTTTTGACCCTCGAGATGGTGGCGAGTTAGCGCGTCTGGAGGCCGAGGTGATCGGAGAGCTGGCATGTCAAAAAGTGCAAAGTGCCTGAGACTGAGTCCAGGCACTTTGCACTTTTTCACATGCTAGCTCTCCGATCACCTCGCGCCTCCAGACGCGCTCTTGGATCTTTGCTGGCAGATTTTTCGTGCCCAGACTGTTGCTAGTTGGACAATAACAACTCGTGGATGGCATTATTATTAAAGCACCTGAGAATTCCGGGGCAACTCGTGGCTGACCCGTGCAGATCGCTTTTTTTGATCCTCCCCCGGCGTTGCCAAAGTGGCGATGAGACTCAGCCCATGCTGGAAGGAAATGCATGACTGCAGGCCGCCAGCGACTGTTCCCGGTGTATTCTACTGCTTCTACGGACCAGTCCCTCTCAAACAGAGATTATGGAAACAAGAGGTGTGATTTGGCTGTTGGCCTGCGAAAAGGGGTTGCTGAATGCTGCCGGCTCTGCAAGATCCACATGCTTTTCAGAGGTCGTCAAATACTGTGAGTTGCAAAGGGCGGAAGGAGCGGTGCCGAGGTGGCTTGACAGAAGCATGACCTTGCTCTTGTGTGTTCTTACATGTTGTGGGCCATTGGTACATCGAAACATCATTGCCAATATGTTGAAGATTCTCCTGGAAGCGATTGCTATCTTAGGGCCGATTGCAGTACAAAAGTGTGTCTGTGCCGTACCTTATGGTGGATTTCGTGGACTGGCTCTCCCGGCCACTCTCCGATTCCACTCGTGGGGTAAACGGGAGCAAGAGACGGAGGGCAAAACAGCCCGTGGCATCCGCCTGGAATCTGGAAAAGGTGCGGCTGGGCCTGAGAATTGCCTTGTATCAGTTGTGAGGAGTTCGATGATGACAAAGCGTCGGGCAAGCTGGACATTGCCCTCGGCAAAGTGCTTCAACTGCAAAGCCATTGCTGCAGGCTCCTCCGTAAGCCTTAAAGCCCAAGCCTTCAACCCTACCGTATTTTGTTTTAACGGCGATAAGATTAGTAACAAAAACCCTACCCTACAGTCCTTTCCAGGTGCCTATCTTGGAGGTTGGAGACTTCTCACTCCCTCAGAGCAAGGCCATCGAACGATATCTGGCGCGAAGCTCAGAGCCCCTGCAACCCGAAACGCCAGACCCTGAACCCTAAACCCGAAGCCGCCGAAACCTGCTCGTGGTAGGAAGTACTCCATGCTTGTGTCATGATGCGAAGTCTCATGTGAGCTCTCTGTCCACACTTTAGGGTATGCCAGGGGAAGGGCCAGTAGAGGGACGGGACAAGCATGTGTTGGTGTTGGTGGCCGAATCCCCTCACCATCCCTCAGCCAAACATGACATTCCGACACCCAACCAGGCGGGGGAAAAGACGGGTCAAACGAAACATATCAAAACATCGAAACCGCCTAAGTCCTAAACAGTAGAGCCCAAACCCTAAACCCAAAGCTCGAAGCTCTGGTGCCACGAGGCTCGAAAGCTCGGGATGATGGGTGACAGCGAAGAGGAGGAGGCGAGCATGGTGAGCATGGGGTGTAGGGCAGTGTAGGGTGTGGGAACTGCCGGTTCAAAGTTTAGGGCTTTAGGCTTTTGGTTTAGGGTTTTAGGCTTTTGTGCGAGGAACCGCCTTCGACCCCTGACAGGCGCTTGTTGATGCAATGGGAGAGCATGTACGAGACATCAACGATGCTCCTTGGCCTACCTGAACCCTAAACCCTGTAATCCCATAATTAGGGGCCTAAATACTTACCTAGGCTATTTTGGAGGTTCCTTATTATAATTATAGTATAATGGGCCCATAATCTGACTTAGAGGAGGTCCCTCAACATTTGCCAAGGACGTCTGCATAGGGGGCCTCAGCTTCAGAAACCGAAGGATTCAGTCGTTCTTTACAGAGGACAAGCTTGAGCTACCTGCAAGGATCTTTGCAAATACCTGCAAATCCAACAGCCTTCCGTCGCGCTGATCCGCTGGTCTGTGGTCTGCGTTGCGATTGTGTTCCTAGATGGAAGTCCAAGCTCTTTCTTGACGACGTCGATTGGCGGGTTCTGATGGCTCGGTCCGCGGAAGGGCTGGCTCGGTTACAGGGTAACCTGTGAGCGCTGCGGGGGTTGACGTGTTGTGGCGTGAGTGCGGAGTGGAGGCAAAGTCGAGGGTGAAAAACATCGATTGTGCGCCTCTGACCGAGACGGCCAAAGAAACTGGACTTCACACTCGTAATCATTCGCAGATTGGCCGCAATCAATTTTGGAGTTTTCGCTCATGGCTAAAATCATGAGTTCGGGGAGCGCCCGCACTCTTTGCAAGCCAGTGGAAGTCTGGCTTTCCTGTGGAGAGTGGAGATATCTGGAGTGCAAGAAAGACAGCTGAAATATTGTTTAGGCGCATCGGCTGTTCTAATGCAATATGAAATCGACGTGTGATGACGATGAGGCGCAAGCATGTGGGGAGTCGGAGAATTGCGAGAATTTACCCAGTGTCTGCGATGATGTTTGCCATGGATATGAGTTACGACCACTCCAGAAAGGCAGTGCGACGACACTCCGTTGCCGAGCGTTGTTCGCCTTTGCGAGAAAACGCACGAAGTGCTCACGAGTTGGCAGCAGCATAAAGACAAGGAGACTACAGCACGACTGCACATACAAATCGCTGACTTCGGTGTTTCGTGAGCATTCCAATGGGATCCAAGCGATTCCAGCAAGGCAGCTTGAGGGCTAACGAAGCGTTTTCGATCATGCTCTCTTGATTCAACAAGTCGTCACAAAAGTCAGAACTTCATCTCCAAGACATGCATGCGCATGCTCGAAGCCCTGTGCTGTGGGACTTTTGCGCACGTGTATGTCCAAGTGAGTGTGTGTGTGTGGTTGTATCATGTGTCCCCGTGTGGTGTGTGCGTGTGTGCGCAGGTAGGCAGATGTAGTTGTGTCGGTGCAGTGCTTTTGTTGGTGTTGAGACTATCGCAAGCAAATTTAATCGAACCGAGGCCTACCAGCGGAAGGGGGTTTTCTTCATGAAAGATGAAGAGAAAAAAGCAGCTGCCTGGTGGAAAATCACAGGGCTGTAAGGTAACTGGAGCTGATCACCGGCAGCTACCGAGCAACTAAGGAGTTGCAAAAGAAGTGGTACGAGGAGGACGTGTTTTTTGGGAATCAACGATATCGAAGGGTGTTGATGTTTGAACCTCCGCCGATGCTTAGTCAAGAGGAGCTGCCCGACTGGCTGTCTAAGCTGGAGAAGGCTCTGCCTGGCAGCGGAGGCTTTGCTGTCGGCAGCAAGGCGGGTCACTGAACAGGTCACAGCATTTCGTCACGACAGTGTTGAACAGGCGTCTCTTGCCGACGTGGTTATCTTCAAGCTTCTGAAGGCCCCGTCGTGCAGCCGGAAGTGAGCCCAATCTGTATCTACTGGAGCCTGTTTGAGGACACCTACCCTGATGATGTCTCCGCTGCCTACGATGCTTGCCCGAAGATCAAGGCACCGGAGCTTTGTGGGTTTAAGCCTTACGCTCGCCTTTTTTTGCCGTAGGCAATCGTCGAGGGCATTGAGAAGAACGAGGGCATCAAAAAGTGGCTGGAAGAAAGGAGAGCACCCCGTTTTTGCAGGGATTCGAAGCCAAGCCACACTACGGTTCTTGGCTATAGGGAAGTCGGAAGATTTTGCCAGGCCCAAGACCTTCATCTGAAGCGTGCCAGTGCCGCTGCGCTGCAGTGTCCTGCCCTGTACAGCATCTGTTAGGAAACCCGACCCTATGAGTGAGAATAATGGAAAAAGGAGGCAGCCGTTATCAACAGCCGGAGCTGTATGAGAGATGCAATGGAGGATGCTTGTGCTTAGCCAGCCTGCCGCATGCTACCGCGTGTTCGAGCTTAGCTTAGTAGTAGGAGGGAAACTGGGTGTGTGTGCTCCTGTCGGAGCCCGGGTGCACCGGGCTCGGTGCTGCTGAGGGACCGCTGCATAGTGTAGTGCTTGTGGCTTAATTTTGCCATGCTGCGGCTGCAGGGGCATGCCACCACATATGCCGTCATGGTGGCGGAGGCGAAGATTCATTGCGACCGTTGCTGTCGAAGTGCGCTTGGGCCGCATCTTCGCAGGCAAGCCCACCGAGCTTTAATACCAGCGGTGACCTCGAATATAACCCTGCATTATAGTAAGAGTCCAGTGTGGGCAGCATCCTACAATTCAGGTCCCAAGGTGGCTGCTTTGCCTGCCGGGTCCACAGAGCTGTGTGCCACGGTGAGGGCTGTCAGGGTTGCCAATAACTAAGGCTTTGTATAGCAGCGACGCTGCCCTCGGTTGCGACGTTTCTCTGCAGGTGAGACTGCTTCAAATCAGGATCCGCATCAATCTTGCAGTCAGATGTAGGCCTGCCGTCATTGGGTCGGATGCCAGCAGAAGCAGTGGCCCTGCACTGATGGGGTGGGGGTGGGGGGGGGGTGTAGCCTCCAAGACTGCAGCCGGGGCCCGAGGCCGCACACAGCTTGCAGCCACCGTCGCAACCTCGGGGGATGCTGTCGCGCAAGTGCTTCGATCACTTGGCCATACTTGGCCCCTTGGCTGAGGCAGCTCCCATTGCCAGGAGAAAGAAAGGTTCAGCACTTGTGAAGCGAGTGCCTGCCTCATGGGGACCTCAGATGCACAGTTCTGAGGGCTGCCGTCCCATGGGCTCAGATACCGCCACCTTCCGTCAAAGTCACCAAGTTGTCGAAAGGTGAGAGATATAGAGGGCTGGGCTCTCAGTGCAGCTTGCCGAACCGCAGTCTCAAATTCATGAAGCAGTGGCCAGGTACATCAATCCGAAACTCAAAGCTCTAGTTGCAGCGACCGCCTCAGCCATCGGGGTCTCTGATCGTCTTGCCTTCTCTAGGCTCCAGGTCTATGAGTGCATTTGTTGTTGGTGTTTAAACAAAGAGGCATTTGGTTTGCGGCAGGCACCCGAGTACCGGAAGGTCGTGGATCTGTTGTTCAAGTTGGAAAACGAGGTGGTTCATGCCTAAACCCTAAACCCTAAACCCTAGCCGCCAGCCGTTGCTCTGCTGTGTCCCGGCTGTCAGAACAAGCTCGACCTTCTTCTCGCGAACGCTCAGGCCACCATCCCATCGGGATCGTCCCCGCTTCTTAAGCCCCACACAGGGCAGGGCAGCCTTGAATCTCACTATTACTACCTGTTAGTATAACTGCTCTTACTTTTGTTACGAGTACTATTACTGTTATAATAATTCGTATTTCTATAGTTATGAATTCACTCCTCTGGAGGACTACTGGATGGGCCTCAATATCTATGAGGCCTCCAGGTTGGCCGCTCGGATGCAAGGTCTGCAAAAACTCGCAAAACTCTCTCCGCCGTAGTCTTATATTTCAGTTATGTAGACTGTAGTCGTATCTGGTCGGACATATAGATAATGTAGCACGTAGATGATATAAGCTATCAAGGTATATTCAGGAAGATACAAACAATATGTAACATGTATACTACATGCATACATAGTTAAACATATATACACACAGATACTACATATACTCTATGATACAGAATATCCTACTACGGAGTACAGCGGTTGGTGGGTCGGCTTTGGCTTAGAGCCCATCCTGCGCCATGGCCGAGGAGCGCGAGCAGGGACGCAAAGCTGTCTCGAAGATCATTCGAAGAGACTGGTCCAGGACCTGTGGCTGCAGTGTTTTTTAGTAGTACTTGGTAAGATGGCAGAGGTCGATGACCTGTAGTGCAGCTTGATTCTTGCAGGGTTCAGAAATCTTCAATTCTGGACATCCAACCTGACCCTAGAAGCCATGCTTGGCATTTCGTCGTGGAAGTCCAAATAGTCAATCGCGTTCCCTTTTTTGCGCTATATCTGATTCGACGATATTCGACGTGCCTGGTTTGGTGCAGACAATCAGCACTCTATCCTAGTTTGCTTTGCGCCCGAGAGACTGGCGCCATGGTAGTTCTCAAAATCAGAGCGGCTGATGGACAATTCTTCCGCTTCCGGGTCGACGAGTGCACCCTGGACGTCGTTACGGAGAAGCTGGAATCAGTTGGGAGCCGGAATGCTTGGCTGGTCTTGTCAGACGGCTCGAGGAGGCCTCTGTCAGGTGCCGCAATCCGAGCTGCATTGGATTCTGGGTCCGAGGTCCTGAAAATGGAAGTTTGTGAAGGAAGTCCTTGCGGCGGGAGTCCATCTTCCGCATCTGCGAGCATATGTGGTCCCGCTGCAAGCACGGCCAGCACGGACTTGCAGCTGCCTGAGGCGGCTCCATCTGCGCCGGTGATGGATATGGCGATGGATATGGTGGATATGGAGCAGGAGACACAAGGGTCACCCTTACTGCAAGAGGAGGATCACAGGCGCCCTCAGCACGTCGATGCGGGGCCCGACCAGCAGACATGGCAGGCGCACGTGATGGACCACGTCTACCAGCATCAGCAAGCTGTCCATCAGCATGTCACGCAGCAACAGGAAGCTGTCCAGCAGGCCATCCGTGAGCAAGTTGCCCAGCACAGGCGAGGTCTGCACCAGCAGCAAGAGGCCGTCCGTGAACATGTCGCACAGCACTGGCAAGCCGTTCAGCGACATCACCAGGCCGTGCGCGAGCACGTCGTTAGGCAGCATCAAGCCGTTCGCGAGCAGGTCGCTCAGCATCACCAGGCCGTGCGGGAGCACGTTGCTCAGCAGCAGCAGGCCGTGCGCGAGCATGTCCAGCAGCACTTGCAGCAGACAGCAGCAGGTTTGCAGCAGCTGCAGCCTTTTTTTCAGAATCTGCCGCAGCCGTTGCAGGGCATGCACCAGCAGTGGCAAAACAATCTGCAACAGCACCTGGGGAACGAACCATTGCTGCCTCAGCGAGCTGCTGGCGATCTGCTGCAGCCTTACGGCCTCGCAGGGCTTGTGGAGTCGTCTTTGGCTGTGATCTGCCCTCAGGAATGCATCGCCCGGATGGGCGGCTCCACCTGATCACTGGGCAGATGCCATCGGTTGTGCTGCGGAGGCACGCAGCTCGAAATCCCTGAGCAGGGTGTCTTGACCAGTCTCGCTCGCAGGGCCCGCAGATGCATGCATCACCTCTCTACCTGGATGGGCAACGCCGGCACTTGACGAGATGGCCCGAGTCTTAAATATGACCTCCTGCCAAACGCACTTTCATTCACCGTTTCCGGCTCATGTACATCGCGCTGGAAGCAATGCTCAGGATGCTTACAGGCTCCATCCACTTGAACAACAGCGATCTCATCCTGGAGGACAGTATGGTGACAGGCCCGGCTTGCGGCTTGTTAGGGGCCTGCAGAGTTTCAAGTCTAATGACAAAAGTCACCCCATGCCATGCGTGAGGCAGCTTGCATCTCAACGGACATTCGCGTGTACTGCTGAGAGGCGGAATGCTTACCGGCAGCGTCCAGACCTTGGTCTACCCAAGACCCCAAGACCATCTCCTGCGAGTCTGTGCTCAGGTGATTCGGAGTTCGGACTCCACCTTCGAGAACCGCTACGGCATGCTGACTGGACAGGCCGTGATTCAGCGGGTGCAGGCTTTGTGATTGCGCGCATCTCGGCGCAGGTCATCAGCGCACATTGAGCTCGACTTGTACAGCACCGCAGGTGTCGTTGCTCTCGGGTGTCATTAGCACTCGCAGGTGCAAGCCAACGAGGGAGCATGTCGAACCAAGTGCAGTCCGGTTCGATGCTCCGCTGTGGTTGCATGCACCGCCTGAAGGCTTTTAAGTTCACAGTACAGATATCGGAGTTTCGGTTTGCCAGCCCAAAGCGGATGATGCGACCTAGCCATGCTGCAAAACTGCGCACCAGCAACCCTTCATTCTTCGAAGAGTGAGCCCAAGTGCTGGCAGATGCTGGCAGCGTCCTGGAGACCTCTCGGCTCAACTGCAGAGATTTGAAAGACTGGCGTTTGGTCATGAGTACGGAACAGTCGCAGAGCTTTCAGGTGATTTTGCCTGAGTTTCAGTCCCCAACGGAAAAAAGTTTACTCAGTTTACAACCGCTCCCTGCCACCAACCCTTGGATGACGCGTGCTGGCGTAGAGAGTAGTGAGTAGTGTTGATCACACCCCCCGTGCTATGTAGCTGGGCTTGTAGTGCACTTCTGAAGGACTCCGAAGCACTGAAGCATCATTCATGTTGCCAAGATAGCTACCCGTCTTGCAGCAATGCGTTGTTGAACACTGACGTGGAATGCCTCGTGGAACGCACCGGGGTCCAGTGCTCATGTTCTGTGACCTCGCTATATATCGGACAGCAGTGTGTGTCTGGGTTCGAGTCAAGAAACTTGACGTACAGGTCTCTGGAAGCCTTTGCCGAAAGACATCTTCAAGTCCCGATGGAAAACCTTCTACAAGCGCTGTTTCAGGACTGCGGCTTGAATTGCGTTCAGCTTCGCCTCGGAACTGCTTGAAGCCGCCTGGGAATCCTCAGGCCTCGCAGCGTCGGGAACACGGTGGACAGAAGGCCGCCACACATTCAGGCGCGGTGGAGCCAGTTTGACGGTTTAGGCTGCTTCTGCCAGATTACACGGGCTCAGACGTCCGATGGCAGCCAGGCTACTTTCACCGAAGACGTGCCGTCTCCGTGGAAGTTCCATTTGTACCCAAACCAGGTCACGTCATGATCCATTGCATCGTCAGTTGCCGCGGATTCAGACTGTGAACAATGCTTCAGGCCGGCAACGATCTAATCGCTCCAATTGACAACAGTGCCTTCAAAGCGTACGGAGCCTTGGACGAAATTCGAGTCTTGTCGGTTTCGCGACGTGGCTTGATGTGTGCAGCCTGGGAGGAAATGTGGTTGGAACGTACTTGAAGCTTGGACCTCATGCATGTAGTGTACTTGTTGGCTGCGGCTGACGCTTTCTTGGTGTGCGCGTGCCGCGTGCCCTCTGGAAGGCCAGCCTACGACGCCTCTGAGGGAACCGCAAGTGACGTGGTCCTTCGCTGCCAGAAGCCTCAGCTGTCTGTGAAAACACTCAGAGGCTTTTCGAAGATGCTCTCAGGTCTGGATGCGGGCCGCAGGGGCTCAGGCTCTCTGTCTGGGCTCGGCAGACCGGAGGCCCCAAGAACAGCGCACAGCTACGACTAGCAGTTCGCTAGCCCCCGCTTTTTCTCCTTGAAACGAGGCCGTCTCGGGGACACGTGACATTGAGCTTGCGACCTGCCCGCATCCGCTGGCATCCGCGCATCCGCTGGATGCTGATTCGGACCTTGGTCTTTCCGAGGCTCCGCAGCACATACGCGCACAGCTGACAAAGCTTTGCGGGAAGACTCCCGAAGAAGTTATCGCCAAGCAGACCCGTTTCTTCAAGGCGGCCTCTGCTCTGCGAAGCCGTCACACAGCACTGCAAGTTTTCCGTCAATTTTGCAGAGGTCAGGAGGTTAATGAACCTACTGGAAGAGCAGGACGAGACAAGGGATGCGGTTGCGCCGAGTTGATCACTGTTGGTGCTTGTCCAGAAGCCTTGCTGCAGTGCAAGCACAGGAAATCGTTTGGACAAGTGGCAGACGTTTGCAAACGAGGCTAGCCGCCAGGCCGGAGAGAGATTCCGGCGTGTGGCAATCGGGAGCAGTCGGAACCTTGTGCCAGGAGTCGCTCGGCAGATGACCCTCGTGGCAATTTTCCCTACATCGACGTGGGCCTGGCAAGTTTTGACTTGCTGAATCTTGCTGAGCAAAGCGGGCGCAGTGCGATTGTGAGCACATGTGTGTCTGCGCTAGCAAAGGGACACTAGGCAGTGAGCACCTGGAGGTTTGACAAACTGCAGCATCCCGCGAAGAACATCTAAATGAACGGGGGGAGGGGCCGGGAGGGGTCTTTGCTCCCTTCACAGTGAACGACTCCAACAATTTTTTCAATAGCTCGGGATGGACTGCGGATGTGGGGTGAATGTCCTTTCCCCAGTCTGTCAAAACGTATGTAAATGCCGGCATGTCGAGTTTTCGGTGCGGGGGGGGGGGGGTGGTGTTGCGTGCACTCACGCCGCACTGACCGTCTCTCGGAGCGTGCTTGCACTGCTGGTTGCTGCTGGCGTCCGTCTTGCCGTCTTGCCGTCACCAGGAGAAAGCTGGTCTCTTGGACGAGCTGGATCTTGCGGAAATCCTGAGGCATCGCTGGCCGCTGGCATTCCTACTTTTGATGGTTTGCAGTGTCTGCCCTGCGGCCTGCGAGGGTGAACTACAAAACCAACAGCCGCCGCCTTCCAAAGTGGAAAGAGATCCAGTTCTGGTTCAAGAAGTGGACCAGCTCTCAGCTTGCTCTTTTGCACCCATGGGGCGGGTCGTATGTTGCTCTGTCAGGCACCGCGTGTACCTGCGACGGCGGGCTGTGCGGATCGAAGAAGCCAAAGCACGAATGGGTGTGGTCAAGCAGGCATCTCAAGTACACAAACATGCACACGTAGACTGCAGTCTTTGACGGCCATCTCAGCTTGGCCGGATCGCGACGCCGGAGAGCATGAACTCTTTGGTGCGATCCAGATGTTCACGCTGAATGCCGTGCCAGGTGATCGGCTAGATCGCGGCCGTGGCTGACGGAAAAAGCAAGCGCGCTGCAAAGACTTTTCAGCGCAATCGCAGCCGAAATGTGCACTGCTGCAGCGGCATGTACTACATATCTACACATGTCCATCCGCCTACATTAAAAGAAATTGAGCTCCTCTCAAAAATTCGAGTACTTCTGCTCCTGTCGGTTTTGTTTGCAGCGGCAGGATCTGGCCGAAGGAGTTAGAAGACTCTAGCCACGGCCTCAAGACAAGTATGGCATTGTGGGTTTAGGTTTGAGGTTCCCCCTACTCCCTCACGAGCGTGAAGCTCTGGCTAAAATGGCCAAGCCAGTGACATGTTAAGATTGTGGACTTTGTGGAATTGAAGCTCCACAGCCCGACTATGCTTCCCGACATGCAGTATTTGGTTTGAGCTACCTGCTGAACACAGCAATACTGCGCTTAATCAATTTCTGCCTATAGCCGCTTGTTTGAGCAAGCCTGTTTTGGAACTTCAGAAGTCATACCGGTGACAAGGTTTTTTTTGAGGCTGGTTGACCTCCTCCTGCAGTTCTGGATTTCGTTCTCCAACAATTGCACCGCTTGGCGCAGCAGTAGCAATGAGGATTGAAGTGATGATAGTGACGGTTAAAATTTCCGTGTTTGATGATGGTAGTATCCGCTGTGCTACGTACAGTTGTGGTCGTAGATGCAGTGATAGCAAGATTACGCACCATCATCATCGATCAACAGCAGCTCCAAGTTTTTCGAGCCCGGGAACCACCTGTAAAGCCTAAGAACCTACACAGACTCCCAAACAACACCCCTGAACTGGAAACTCCGGAGTACTAACCGTTCTGGCACCTGTAAGGTGTCCCCCTCCCTCAACTAACATGGGTTTCCAGTCGCTAACCGCTAAAGGAATTAGAGGGCATAAGCAACAAAAAGCCGTGAATCCTGAACCCCTGGTCTGGTCCAACGGTTGATGATATAAATCCTGCATTACCTTAAGGGTCCTAAACTATGGGAATAATGGTATATTCCTTATTATGGGTAATGCAGGATTTCTATCATCAACCGAAGGACTGGAAGCTTACGATCTCTTCAGCGCCTTTTGGCGAAGAGTTGAGCAGAGCCAGATCATTGCAGGGCGCTCGGCTGTGCTTCACAGTTTGAATTTTTGGGGCTTAGTGTTTAAGGTTTACAGACCTGTATCTTACCGGTTCGAAGTTAAAATGGGTAGTGACAAGACTGAATCGCAGCAACAACAAGATTAATCATTCGCGCTAATATCAATGACAGCACTTGAAGGATCATGGGACTTAGTAACTTAGTAACTAGGGTTATAATTAGGGTAAGTATGCATATAACTCCAATTAAGGTACTTATAACCGTACTTACTAAGTCCCATGATCCTCCAAGTAACAGTCGTTTTGTTTCGAATTATAGCTACTCTGGCGTTTTCGCCTCAAAGGGACGCGAACACGCTTGTTTCCTGGGTCTTGAGAATTTCCTGTCACATGATCTACTTGGAGGTTCAGGGGTAGTTATAAGTGGGGTTATAAGTAAGGTAACTATAATTATAACCCATATTAGGGGTCTTATAACTCTACTGATAGCTACCCGTGAACCTCCAAGTAGTCCTCGGCTTTGCAGGACACCATGATCGGCGAAGGTCGGTACCTTAGGGATGGCCGGTCGGGCTTGCAGTGTGTCAGCAAGGTTTTAGCGCACTTGCGAGCATGTGTGGCGCTACTAAGTTCTCCCAGATCTAAAGCGGGGCTACGACAGTGTCATGGATCGCGAGGGTCAAGACAGGCGCGCAGTGTGAAGGAGCTCTTGTTGCACAATGCCTGTTATTCTTAAGGACTAGGTGACTAGGTCCAGTGACCCTGACTGTCGTGTCAGGCTCCTGTCGCTGTCGGAAACAGGACGATTGGAGGAGGCAATTCCTTGTGGCTGGACACCGCACTGCAGCATGCTCTGGCCTGCTTTTGCCCTAAACCCTGTATAAACCCAAAACCCTGGTGATCACTTTTGCTGCGTCCAGTTCCAAAGCCGCTTCAACGACTCCACGACAGCTGACCAGTATCGCATCCTCGCCGAGGCTCCAGGGCCCTTCATACAGGGGCCTTGTGAAAGCGATACCTCAGAGCAGAGAGAAGCCTTGTTCCCTGGCCAGAACGACACCGCCATACCCGTTCTCTCCGAGAAGGCCCGGTGTGTTAGATGCGGGTGTCCTGAGCGGGGTGGTCGGAGCCTCTGCACATGCCTCGGTGTCCGAGTTGCTGCCTTTCTTCGTTCGGGGGATGGACGACTTTGAGTACAAGGCGGTGTGCGTGCATGGGTGGGTGTGTGTGTGTACACAGATGGGAGCCCTGTTGGACCATGTGCCCTACCACAGCCACGGACGGATCTCCAGATCCCTGATGACAGATTGCCAACACTCCGGTAGCGTTGCCGGGGTGGGCAGACATCATTGTTGGAACCGTCGTCGCACCTCCTGGCATGGTTGCAAACTCTTGAACTGTGCACAGTGCATAGCTGATCCCGTGCAGATGTGATAGCCGTGCCTGGCCTAGCCAGGTCCTGGGCTTCGTTCTTGTTTTAGCATTGAGTGGGGTGGGAAGCTTACAGCACCGCAATAGTCATGCCGCAGCTGAACGATGGCAGCAGGGCTATGCAAGAAGAGTTACCGAGGAGCTCCAGCTTCCATCCATGGACGAAAAGTTTACGCTTGAGCGCTCCGCGCCCAAAAAGATCATCGTGCCGGTGCCGCTGTCGAGTTTGGGGTCTCAAGGCTCGCAGGTCTGTTAGCATGTCCATGCGTGTGCAGGTTCGTGTATGTATCCTAAAGTTAAGAGTATAAGAAGTAGCATAAATGACTGAACCATCCATCCACCTACGGCGCCATCCATCCCCTGCACCCCCTCCTCCTCCCCGCTTCCCCTTCCTCTACCGCTCTCGCTCTCGCACTCTTGCTCTCTTTCTCGATGTCTCTTTCTTTCTTTCCGTCTTTATTTCTTTCTCTCGTTCTTTAATTCTTTATTTCTTTCTTTCTGTTTTCTTTCTTTCTCTCTCTCTCTCTCTCTCGCTCTCTCCGCTCTCTGTCTCTCAATCTCTCCTTCTTTCTTTCTCTCTCTCTCCCTCTCTCTCCGCTCTCTGTCTCTCTATCTCTCCTTCTTTCTTTCGTTCCCTCTCTCGCTCACTCGCTCTGTGATGTTAAAGCCCTGCCAAGCCATAAGAGACAGCAATCCTTATTCGCGGAGCCCTGGGAGAGAGATAGAGAAAGAGAGGGTCATTCTAGTCCATTTGATATCGCGGACAAATGAACTAGTGCCTGCAGGGGAGTTTCGGAAGACTACTTAGGCAAGGGAGCCTTGTAATCATCAGCTCATGTGCTGAAGGCAGCCGTAAGCCAGGTCATACCAAATGGACCCGGAGCGCAACCCGGGCTGGCCAAAACTGAAGTGCAGTCTATGCCGTAGCAAGTTTCTGACGGCACGGGGTGGACCATAATGGACCGTCGTAGTCGTGAAGACATCGCGCTCAAAGGGCTCGCCGAAAAAGACTTTAGAAAGCAGCTGCTGATCTCAGTAGAGAGAGGCGGCCGTCACCAAAAAGTTCTCTGTCCGGCTGCAAGTGCAGGTCAAACTTCAAGACTTGTGTGTCAAAGCTCAAACTGTTTGTTAACCGCGGCGCCGAAGATTGCTGCAGCAAAAGAAGGCGTGATATCATGTCCAATGTGCTTGTAGCATGCAGCCGACAATGGGCTGTTACAGTGAAACCATGGCTTGCTTCTTGCCACGGTCTATGGTCCTGCAGTTCTTCCGTAGCCTCTGGCTGCTTACAACGCATACGGCATTCGTGCATGTGACTGTGCTGGAGAAACAGGGCTGGACACACTTTCATGACCATGCATCGCTGTCACATCCGTGTACCGTTCCAGCACAGCAGTAGTCAATTTCGCACTAGACCAAGAGCCAAGATCGAGCCTTTGGTGTCTACTTGGTTGCAGCGTTTGTGGCCCCCGGCGAACCAGCCATGGAGGCTGGAGCTCCCGGGACATGTTCAGGGACTCTGGCCTCTGCTTTTCTTGCCCGGTGAGCTTCTTGCGCCCCATTGCCATACTGGCATCATCAGGGGCTTGAGGTAGGGAGGTAATTGAGCAAGGACTGCAATAATGAGAGAATGCACCTTCAAGCCCCTCTGTGCAGGTTGGGGGCAGGGGTGCTTTGACGACCTTCCGAAGGCAGAGAAAAGCTTCCGGAAGATGCAAGTGCAGTATTTCTTCGTGGAAGGCCGCTGACAGAAAGCAGCGCCGATGTGGACATTGAGGTGCGAGAGCCTTTCGCATGCAAATCCTTGAGAACCGGCAAGCCGGCGACGGTCTGGTCTTGCACCACAGGTGGGCATGGATCGCGAGCGTTCGCGCGAAGAACCAGGCCCGAGTCCGCACCTGTCTAAGAGTAGGACGAGGCTTGCACTGTCCATGCAGGGCACCAGCCACACTTCGCTATGCGGGGGACGGCTTCCTCACCTCGGGCCTCATCCCCACATGGCCGTGCAGGCGCATGTCAACCGCAAACCGCTTGAAGCTGCACGGGACATCCACGTGGCAGGAACATCGCCCAAGTCCAACATGTGCCGGCCTCGTTTTTCAGCATGTTGGCAGAAACCCCAGCAAGGCGAAACCTCATCGGCGGATTATGCTTTGGCCGTATTTGGCCGTAAGCAGCCACGGCAGACCACGGTAGATGCCCTAGAAGCTTCAACCGAAAGCTGCAGGTGATCCTGTGAAGCTTTTCGTCGATTACCCCGCTGAGCTTCTTCGTAGTCGCAGACATGAGGGCGCTTTCTTCTGCAACAGCTGCTCTACCAGGCCGCGGCCGGCAGCGGCCAGCGGACGCCCGCAGAACATGGGCAGGCAGAGGCCCGAAGTCCGCAGCGGAGCGGTCCGTGGGCGCTGGGGGGAATCGGGCCCACCTGGCAGGTCGGCTCAAACAGCTGGGGAGGCCAGGACCCCGACAAAAAGGGAGCTTGTTTTGTCCGAAGCCCTATAAGTCTGAGTCCTAAAGTTCTAAAGCTTCGAGTTCCCAAGCCAGGTGCTCAAAAACCCACCAAGACGAAAGCGTCCGGGCCATGCTGTGTTTGATCCAGGCTTTGGTGGCTGCCGCCCTGTCGGGCGCGGGCCGACGTTTGCCCGGCCTCGGTGCAGGGACCACAGAGATCTGTTTGGGGGCTTGACGAGTGTGGTTTTGACTGTTTTTTGGGTAGCACGGAAGCCTCAATGCTCAGCATTGGGATTAGGGTTACTGCATGACACTGTTTCTACCAGCAACAGGGCCCTTGTTTCATTTTTGTCGTTCCCAGGCCGCATCACGGCGAGCTCCTGCGACGAGGCAGACTGTGAATGAGGCACCGGGCTCGGCGCACGTTGAACAGCAACATTTGAGTATATGAGCTGTGCACGTTGTACACCGCGCTGAAACCACGGGGCCTACAGCGTCCGCTCTTCAGATCTTGTCTGTCGATCTGGGTTACAAGCATTTTGGAAAGTCTCCTTGACCGTGACGTGCTGTTGGGGAAATCTTCCGAAGAAGGATGAGGAAGCTAGCGCGACAGCAGGATGTGGGAACCCAGAGGTCGTCTGGAAAAAAGCGGCACCTGCTAGCCGCACTTGTCCGGTTGATCATCTGCCATGCAGATGAACACTCCTGTTCATTCTCTGTCCTTCGAGATGGCGGCAGAGCTAGATTCTTGATGCTCTGCATTGCACTTCACTTTGCACTGTCGCAATTGCAATGCTTAACAATCTGCCTTTCTGATGCAGGTTAGACGACAGCTAGATGAGAATTTGCAGAAAGATGGGGTCTGTTCCTCAGCTTACGATCTCCCAGGCTCTCAGGGAGCCGTCAAAGCTCTTGGGCTGCCGTGACACTTGCAGTTGTTGGTGCCAAGGGACCCTAAACCCTAGGCCCTGAACCCTAAGCCCTAAACCCTAAAACCCAAGCCCTAAACCCTGGACCCTCAGGAATGCTATGCCGTTTGCATGGCTGGTGGTTTGGACCTGGCCTGCCGCCCGGGCTGTCCATGACAAGCGATGCTAAGGTTGCAGATGTTCTGGCGCCAGGCATCAGGTTACTGTATGATAAAATTTCACAATAAAGCACAATGCTATTATTGTCATTAGTATTATTCCTATCGTTATTATTCTTATCAAGGTATTTTCACGTGTATTGCAAGGAGCCTCTGGCCCGTGCTTTCACTGCTCACCAGGCGAGCTTGGCAGAAGCGAGCGCGCCTACGACGGAGGCGGGAAGGGGGGTGGCTTGTCGGAGCGGATTTCTGGGAATCTGATGGTGTTTGGAGAGTTTGGCTGAAAGCATGCAAGAGAATCCAGGCGCCCTTACAACATAATCATGACTGCCATCAAAACCCTAGCAGAACGACATGAACAGCTGCTGCATGCATGACGGTCATGCTTTGCAATGCTAGATGCGTTTTAAGATCTCCGGCCAGCCCCGCATTTTCAAGCTTTGCATGTCGGGCTAGTGGAACTACTTGTAGCGGCAGAAAGGTGGCACGTGCTTCGGCAGCAGCAGCGGCAGCGGCACCGGCCACAGCTGCTTGAATTGTAGTCGTAAAAAGGCCCAAGCATCATGGATGTCGGCTGTTTCTAGACAACTTCATTTCATGCAGCACAGCCGCAGTTCACCAGATATTGTGCGATGCCCACAACCCGTCCTTGGATTAGATTTCGTGGCTTTCGACAGCAGCCTTTCATCATTTGTGGTAGCATCCGTCGCCGCATGTACTGGCTTCGCTTCAGATGCGATCGGTGTAGACACTGCTCTCCTTCATTCCAAGTCTCCAGTCCAACTGCCTCAAGACTGAGGGCCGCGAACTGTCACAATTGGAGTTGCCCTCCGAGATTCGAGGTTCCATTTGCTGTCCCAGTGCCATTACTTACAGTATATTATGTATGGGTGTCAGGTGCTTGACATGTTTTTGGATGGTGGCTTCTCAGGGTGCCAAGGCTTTACGTTCTGACTTCAATCAGGATTCCAGAGACTCGAGTCGCAGTTCCCATAATCGTTTCGAGTTCGGGTCTTAACTTGCGTGGAGGTGTTGCGCATGCTTCCGAGCAGAAGTAGAGACCTTGTCTGCCTGGGGATGGTGAAGTCCCAATCCCAAGCCTGAAGAAGAGAAGAGTTTCGAGTCCCCAGTTTTATCCGAAGCCTTCGCGTCTGAGACTCGTTAGGTGTAGACCATGACTTGCATCCTGGAAGGTGGCAGCCAGTCTTCGCTGGCTGGACCACGCCAGCTCGATAATGGGCTCGGAGGCAAAGCGGTTCAGGGTCCATGAAAGGGGGGGGCGGGTTGACGCTGCCAGTAGGGGGAACCGTCTCCGTCGCGGTCAGGTGCTTTTCTTGTTTAGCCTAATTCATGTAGCATCTTTGGTGAAGACAGGGAGCTCTTGCACACGCTTCAGGATGGGTTTTTCCCGGAATTAATTTGGAGACCGGGCACATGCTCTTCTTCTCTTGTGCTGCTTTGAGTCCTCGCTGTCAGGCGGCTTAGTGAGACACTTCGGCACGGGGGAGAACATTGTTCTCTATTTGCAGTTCTTCGGACAGAAGGCGGATCCACTCTCTGTGCAGCATTAGCCTTGCATGTACTTGTCGGTTGCAGCCTTGTGGCAGTTGCATCAGCAACACAGGTCACCAGTAGATTATATGTATTCATAACAGTGATGCCGACGACCAGTGCTTATGTTGATAACTACTGATTCATCTGATGTCGGGATTGAGGACGGCCATGATGTTGATGTGAACGCCGGTGCAAGCAGGCATGCGTTTCGTGGGTGCCTGAGCAGGTGGAGCCAAGCACCCAGCCACCTCTGCAAGATTCCTGGGTTCAAGACTTGTCCGAGATGAATCCAGATCAGCTTTTTTAAGCAGCGCATGATGGCAGCTTCACAGAAGCCAAGGAGGCACTGTCGAAGCTCGACGTCAGCTGGCGTCACAGCCAGCTCCGGCAATTCATGCTGCTTTTTGCAGCATGACAGCGGCGTGGCTCCGATATTTTAGGCAGACGCGCGGTGCGGATGGGCCTTGATCTGGCAGGGGTGGACGTCAACTTCCAAACACCTCTCTTCAGCCCCTCTTCTCTGCAGCAGCTCATGGAAATCTGACAATTGCCAAGGTTTTTGATTTGGGGTGAACTGGTGTGACAGCTGGAGGGAGACTGCCCATATTCAAATTTTCACACGGTGAATTTGCTCTTCGAGCACTGGGCCTCAGTGCTGGTCCAATCTAAACGACGTAACCAGACGCCGCGGGCCCTGCTGCAAGCGCAGAGCCGGCCGGTGCCGGAGATTAGGAAGCACCCGCAACCTTCGCCAACACTTCAGAGCTCATGACTCATGCCCTGCTGCCGCAGCAAGGAGCCGTTTAGCCATCGTTGAAAGGCAGACGGAGGATAGCATTCACAAGCCATTGTCGAGAAGCCACTGCACAACGTGGTGGTTGAGAATCAGGAATGCTGGGTGTGCGAGTCTGTGAAGAACTGTGCCAAGCGCCTACGACGTTCAGAAAGAGAGTTTGCAGTGGACCATGCCAACCTGCACTCAGAAATGCCTTGGTAGGAAAACCTCATTGCAAAGGACGCAACAACTCTTGTGAGTGTGGTCGTGGATGACAATGCCGAAGGCAATCATGTGGCGTGTGTTGAAGAGTTGGCAAGCACTTTGAAGCCCTCGTTCACATGAACGGTCGTGTCGAAAACGACAAGGATGGTGACAGGCTACGTGTGTGCGAAATTTGAAAAGCAGGAGCTCACGATGGGGCAAGTCAATGTTGACCGCGACCACCAGGGCAAAGGCTGAGGCGGCTTTCGGCTTAACGCCGCAGAGAAACCTGCAAGAGGTCTTGGGTGCTCTTTTTCCAAAGTCAATTTGAATGTCCTGGAAGCCAACCAAAAGGCCCAGCGCTGCTACGCAAAGGCTGCCTTTAAGGTCTATGCATCTGGTCCATCCCGGTTTCCACCATGCAGCTGCCGTGATGGCGAATGTCAGCATGCAAAAATCAACTGGGAAAAGGCAAGTGTTGACGGAATCATGTCATTGTTTCATCCGACCGATGCAGGATGCGAAGAAACAGGCCGTTTGCTTCATATGGCTCTGTTCGAGCACGTTCTGTTCATGCCACGGGCGCACCAGCACAACAGCCGCTGTAAACGGATTTCGGGTGTCTGCACCCAGCCCAAAGTCACAGCTTGGCTGCTAGAAGGGCTGCTGCACTTCATGCATTTGCCTGATTAGAGATGTTTCTACTGCGTCAAGGGGGACGATTTTATATGATCATATCAAACATGCTGGTAACGATGCAAAAGAACATTATGACGACGATGACGATGCTGTTGGTGATCGAAATACTGGCTGGGTATCGTAGATGTTAAGCTTCCAACAGCCGACAACAGGTAGCTGAATGAGTAGGCAGCTGAGTCACGTGTGTGTTTGTGCGTTTTACAGGACGCGGAGAATGCGATGCGCACACACGAGCTGTAAAGCCTTCACGGGAGGTGCAACCTAAGGGGCGTTTCTCGATTTTAGATGACGTTGCATATTTTTGCGTGGTACTGTAGCTTGATGCACGGCTAAACTTTGGCTCATGCTGTTAAGGTTTTAGTTCGCTGCCTGTGTACCCATGACTCTCCTCGGTTTCCCCCTGTCTCTCGCTCTCTCACTGTGTCTGTCTCTCTCTCTCTCTCTCCCTCCCTCGCTCCCTCTCTGTCTCCTCACGATCCCGTCATGTACAATGTACACCCTCTCCCTCTCCCTCTCCCTCTCCCTCTCCCTCTCCCTCTCCCTCTCGCCCTCTCGCCCTCTCGCCCTCTCGCCCTCTCGCCCTCTCGCCCTCTCGCCCTCTCGCCCTCTCGCCCTCTCGCCCTCTCGCCCTCTCCCTCGATCTCTCTCGATCTCTCTCGGTCTCTCTCGATCTCCCTCGATCTCCCTCGATCTCCCTCGATCTCCCTCGATCTCCTTCGATCTCCTTCGATCTCTCTCTCTCTCTCTCTCTTTTTTCTCTCTCTCTCTCTCTCTCTCTTTTTCTCTCTCTCTCTCTCTCTCTCTCTCTCTCTCTCTCTCTCTCTCTCTCTCTCTCTCTCTCTCTCTCTCGCTCTCTCTCTCTCTCTCTCTCTCTCTCTCTCTCTCTCTCTCTCCATCTCTCCATCTCTCTGTTCTCTCCTCTCTCTGTATTCTCTCTCTCCTCTCTCCTCTCTGCCTCTCCCTGTCCCTCGCCTCCCTTTCTCCCTATACTTTCACTTTCTCTGTCTCTCTCTCCCGCTCTCTCTCATTCTCATTCTCTCTCTCTCTCTCTCTCTCTCTCTCTCTCTCTCTCTCTCTCTCTCTCTCTCTCTCTCTCTCTCTCTCTCTCTCTCTCTCTCTCTCTCTCTCTGTCTCTCTCTCTCTCTCTCTCTCTCTCTCTCTCTCTCTGCGCTCTTTCCATGTCGCCGCCTTCGCATCTCTTGTGTACAGTGTTTCTGTCCACATGAACCTGCAGCCTTGAGCCTGCCGATGCATGGGTCTTCATGTGTGAGTGTATGAGCTATGCTTGTGCATTTACGCATGTGTCATGTATCTGCACACACATCTTCATATGGCCGTGTATGTGGTGCATGGATGGTTTGGAACAGGTTTACATTTACGTACGTGCTTGCACAAGATGTGCCGCTGGTTGCAGGATGTCTTTGCATTTGGCTTTGGTTGCATCGATGCCTGGCCGCAATGAGCGTTCTATTGATTAGACGTCGCACATTTTTTGAAAGTTGTTGATGCTTCGTTTGCTGTCACCTGACATTCTAGCGAAGTGATCGGAGACACTGCAGCAGCAATCCATGGTGGCTGAGGTCTGCTGGAGTCTGGAGCCAAATGAACTCGATCAAATCCGGGATGCAATGAAGCCGCTGCTTGGCGAACAGTCATGCGCTGCTTTCTGCTCAATGCTTGCAGCCCCTTGCGTCGCAGATGGCTTCGCTGCCGCCGAAGTTGTCAAAACAGATCTAAACTCTGGGCCTACGCCCTGGGCCCGAACAGTCGGAAGGTTAGTCTCAGAAAGCCCCAAACCCCAGAACCCCTAAACGGCCCAGACAACTCGCAGAGTTCTCAGGTTCCTGGTGCGGCCGCAGGAGCGGAGCAGCTCGATGCAATTCCATGACGACTAATTACCACCACCAACGGCAGCAGCAGCACCGCGATCACGCTTGCCGCTACCACAGCCGCCGTCAGCACCACCGGCACCTGCAGCATCACACCAGCACTACCATCGCCACTGTCACCACCACCCCCCACCAACACGATATCACTGACAATAACAGCGCAACAGCTGCAACGACAGCAGAAACATGCTTCAGATGCGTAATAGCACTTGAAGAGGAACGCCACCTTGCTTGGTAGTAGCTGCAGGTGGTTTCGAGGAGGAGACAATGAATTTCCTCTTTAAGCGGAAAGACGAGGCACCGTTTTCGGCATCCTTTTGTCAGCCTTTTTAGGCTCCCTGAGTCTCCAACTTTCCGAATCGATCCCTCCGTCCTCCTTCCGCCTTGCTCCATCTTACAATTGAATTTCTCACTCCGTCAATTCACCGGGTTCCCCCGCTCACTCGCTCGCCTGCCCTCGCTTCGTTTTTCAGATGATGCTTCGCAAGTCGGCCGAACGAAGTCTGGATTCCGGATGGAGCGGCTTGCGCAGGTGGAGGCAGATGATGGCGCAGATGATGGTGATGAGCCAGCGCAGGAGGCCACACAAGTTGCCGTGCTTGTTAGAGGTCACAGAGGGGCACGGGATCTCGAGCATATACGCTGAAACTCGTTTGGCCAGGCAAAATGCATCAGCCAAGACAAGCAGGGGACGCAGCTTTGGTTGACTGCCATTCGCATTCATGTCTGCCTGATCCGCCACGCTAAACATTGAATGCTGTCCAGGTTAGTACGAAGTACGAATGTAGTGCGACGGCTGAGGATCATCTTGGCGTCGCATAGCCCCTTGAAGGAGAAGCTCGCGCATTCCTACGTGCCCTTGCTTGACTGGACGTTGCTAGTGCGTGTAGTGCAGAGTCTTTTGCCACTAGTCACTAGTCACCAGTTACCGACCATATGTGCGCGCACACACACACACACACGCGTAAGTATGTGTAATATATATATATATATGTATATATGTATATATGTATATATGTATATATGTATATATGTATATATGTATATATGTATATATATTTATACATATGTTTTATCTGCGAAAGCCGAACTATATAGCCGATAACATTGCACATATTTGTTTTTGTGCACACACACATATGTAAATGTACAGAATCTAGAGCATATGCAAGATATGGGAGTTTCCGAAATAGGGGACCCTAACATAGTACCCTTGTGAAATTCCCCTGTCTTGCAGTGCCGTGTTGACAGTCCTCATGCGAGCGTAGTTTTTCATGTCTAGTCTGAACGCTTCTTTACTTGAAGACGTCTTGGGCTCGAATCGAAAATAGGCTTTGCTTGTGTGGTTGGACACTCTCGAACCAAGTTCCTGCTTCAAACTGGTAGCGGAGCTGAGAGGACAACCACTAGTGTATCACCCCTGAGCGCCGTTGGTCCGGGGACCGTAGAGTAGTTGATAGATAGTTGTGGAGCAAAGGCCCCTACTGTCTTAGGTGAAGCCATGAGCGTGGCAGGTTTGCGCTACCAGCCCAATCTCTGGTCACAGAACCTGAGCCCTGCTGAAACCAAAAGCGGCTCGTACATATACGACGGGTCAGCTGCTGGGTTCCACGATTGGTGCTTCCGGACACAGATCCGTGTGCTGCAGCATAAGGAGAAGCAGCGGCGTGAAGCTTTGAAGGACTTGCGTTTTGCTGAATCGGCAAGGTCCAAAAGCGAATCACCAAGGAAGTGGCGCGGCATGGCGCGGCAGGGCCAGTCAAGGGACCAGTGCACACCCCACCGAGGGTGATGCGAGCAGCGGTATACCCGCCAGTCCGTCCAGCGCAAAGCGGACTAAGCCCGTGTCCGAGGCAGAAGATGAGGATGCGGAGTCGTTACCGTCGCACCCCAGTCAAGTGACGGGCGACGATGAGCAAGAGCCGGACACAGATCCGGCGGTGTATACGTTGCAAGACGTCAAGGACGAGTCACTCGATATGAGTGAGTGCGTCAGCAAGATCCTAGAAGGTCTCCGAGGGGATGCCTTTTGCATTGCTCGCGACGTCGGTTTGGAACGTTTGCTCCGTCATGACGGCATTGACTACCTGATAGAGGAAATCAGGAGACAAGCCTTCCCTCTTCAATCCGAAGAGGCGTCCGAACTTTTCCGTCAGGGACAGCTCCTGACGGGCCCACTTGCAAAGCAACCCGGCGAGCCTATGTTGTCCTACATAGCCCGCCGAAAGCGGTGGTGGTCGACCTTGCGAGAGCTGGACCCTGACATCCGTCTTTCCGAGGCAATGAGGGCTAATCTCCTTGTTGAGCTTTCGGGATTGGAGAGGTCTGAACAGCTAATGGTCAAAACCGCCGCCCGCATGCACACTGTGGATGAGTACGCACGCGTCCTTGTTCAGCACCACTCCGTGGTGCACATGAAAGAACGTCTTCTGACCCAGAAGGACCCTAGTGGCCCAGGTAGGACCTGGAGACGTTTTGACGCTAAGCCCCAATACCCTAAGTTTGGCTACATGGGGTATGATGGCAGCGCCGTAGAGTATGATCACCAGGAACAGCATGAATCCGCGGAAGGCTACGGTGACGGCTACGGTGATGAAGCGTACCAGGCCACAGCGTCTGGGGGAGGTGACGTGGATGAATGGATCGATGATGAAGACCTAGCATTGCAACTCAACGCCTATACGGCGGTGGCATACGAAGCTGAGGTTGATGACTTGGACGATTCCTATGCCGAGTCGGTTCAGCTTGCATACGCGGCGAGACCGCATTCGCCCAGGCGAAAGGAAAGGGGAAGAACAAGGGCAAGCCCACCGGGAAATCCGGCGGGAAGGTCGTGCGTAGTAACCTAACTATTGCTGACCGCAAGGCCAAGCTAGCAGAGCTTAAAGCAAAGAGTAGGTGTTTGAAGTGCGGTGTGATCGGCCATTGGGCTGGAGATGCTGCCTGCAAGTTTAGCGGTAAGGGCAATGGCTCCAAGGGTACCGCAACCCCAGCACAGTCTGGGGGAGCTGCTAGCGCAGCCGCAAAGTCGGCGGCACCGAAGCCTCAGGCGTATTTTGCCGCGGTGGATGAGGACGATACTGAGTGTGTTCACTTGTCGAATGCGAGTGCTGGTAGACTCGAGGGATATCCGGCCAACTTGGAGTTGATTCCCTCGAAGACCAACACAGGCAAGGGTCGTGGCAGTGACGCGTTGTTCTCACCACAGCTTCGGCGCGCAGCTGCCGCAGGGATTATGCGTGATAGCCCACCTGTGGGTTCTGATCGTGTCTTTTCCTTTGGCCAGCACAAGGGGCTGACTTGCGAGCGTGTTCTGTATACGTACCCTGGGTATGTTCTCTGGGGACGCACGCAGAAGTGCCCATCCATAAATTTGGCTGACTTCTTGAACTGGGTCACAGAGTACTTTGATGTGCGCGATGACACCCCTATCAGTGTCACGAGAAGGGATATTCCTCTCAGCCAAGAGCCCCCGCCTGAACCCTTTCAGCCCGAGGTTCGCCTCGCCGCCTCAGCTGCTTCGTCCAGCGAAGGCCCCCGGAAATGCCGGGGAGGTTGCAAGGAGTTCAACAAGTCGGGAAGCAACGCATACATAGACATGCGGACCTGTAAGAAATGCGGCACTGTTACCAAGACGAAGAAAGAGAAGCCTGTCATAGACCAGGCCACATGCCCTCACACCTCCACCGAGAGGTCAGGTAGCAGTAGGAAGACTTCCCGCATTAAGTGCAAGCTTTGTGGGATGCTTCTAGATGAGCAGCCGCAGACCGAGCGAAAGGCTAGGGAGGACGCAGCCACAGTGCTGCGGGAGTCCAATACCCTGGACTTCGATCTTCTGCGCAGCATAGTCGGCAGCACGGGAGATAGCCTTCCCGTAGAGGTAGTAGTTCCGGCTATTGCCCAGTTCCAAGAGACCGTAGAAGGCCACTTCGTAGCCGAGCCCGTGATATCTCGCGGTGACCTTCTCGCATACCTGCAAGAGGCCTTAGACGATCACGCAGCGCCATCCACCAACAACAGTTGGGAAGTGGCGTCGGTGAGATCGCGCTCTTCGAGGGCCTCTGCTACGAGGCAGGGTTTCGTGGCTTTTACTGAGGGGGTCACAGATATCCACCCGGCTTTGGTTGATTTGCCCGTAGTAAACATCTACGAGGACGAGCATGTGTACGCCGTGCTAGATGAGGGATGCAACTCGACTGTTCACGGTAGCGATTGGATAGCAAACGCGGCTGGGAAACTTGCGAACTTTGGTTACAGCACCAGGTTTAAACCTGAAGGGAATCGTACCTTCAAGGGTCTTAGCGGCGCTACCGAGACTTTGGGTAGCAGGACCATACCTTTCTCTATAATGGGATTGGAGCAGGACTTGAGAGTTCCAGGTGTCCTTGATTCGCACGAGATTAAGGGTACCGCCCCTCTCCTCCTGTCCGTTTACGCACAGGCTCAGCTTGGTATAACCAAGGATTTGCGGTTTGGGGTGTGTGGTGTTCGACTTCCTTCGGAGGACACTGTCATCAGGATCAAGTTGTGTCGAACACATGACTCAGGGCTGTTGTGCATAAACATAACAGAGGGTTTGACCCAGACTAAGCAACCCCGCCTTATAAAAGGTTTTCAGATTCCCTCGCCGCCAGTTCCTATGTTTAGGTCTGCTGCCGCTGCCACGTTAGCTCACCCAGGACCTGTGGGCAGATCACTTGGAGACGCAGCAGCGACAGACCATAGTCACAGCACTACGATGTCGGCCGAGATTCGCAACAATACGAAACGACGCATAAGCGTAGCATTCCCTAACCACTGCATGGTAGGCACAGCTTCACAGCAAGGTGCGCTAGGGAAGCGATGGCTGCATCAGAGGGGCAGCTGCCGAAGAAGGCACCCCCCACGGCAAAGGCTGCACCGAAGACATCTGCAGCGCCGGCGCCTGGCCACAGTGCCATGGCGAAAGCACCTTCGGGCGGCCACAGTGCCGCCCCGGCACCCGCGCCTCTGCCTAAGGCGCCGCCTGGCTACGCGTCAGCGCCTGCGCCTAAGGCGCCACCCGGAAATAGCCCGGGGATTCCAGCAGCTCGTGCCACAGTGCACCCGAAGACAATTGCCCAGGGCCACCGCGAGTTGGCCCAGTTTGACGCGGTGGCGAAGAAGGATCCGCAGGGGCGAGCCCTGGTTATAATGCCAGGAGGCGGAGTGCATGGCCCCGAGCTGGACACTCCATTGCCTGCATCCGTGTATAATCCGGATTTGTCGCTGCAGCCGCACTATACGGGGGATACAACGAACCCGGACATCATCATCGATGTGTTTACATGGGGTTTCAACCACCATGCATGGCTGCAGCGTGTCAGGGGGAAGTGGACCGCAGCCGAGCTCTTCGCACAGCGCGGAGAGATGGAGACGTACGGCATTACAACGCATGCGTCTGCCACCAGCTATATGCTGGTGATGCTTGACATGGTGTGAGACGACCGCAAAGACGGTCTGACGCCCGCCGAAGCCCAACGTGCCAGCGACGAACAGCGAGACCGCACAAAGCATGTTGGGTCGAACCCCGATATAATTCGGGAGAACTCGGAGCATCCGAACCTGATCGCTCACGTCAGGCATATCCTGGCGAATATCCTCGATGCCAAGGAGGCGGGGATCAGGTCCATTGCTGTGCACATAGTATGCAAAGCCAACAGACACAGATCTGTTGCGTCGGGTATCCTCACCCATGCAGTGCTCCTGGAGCTGGTGCCGGACTGCTCCATCAGCCTTACCCACATGAGCGCGGCAAACAGCTGGCCGTATATGGGGCCAAGAGCGTGCAAGGGACAGTGTCCCAGGTGCTTGCACCGCTCACCTGGCACAGTC